TTACAGAGAAAAATATCGTTTTTTAAAGTAATAAAGTTCTACTTACATTTACCAAGGACATAAATAATGCAGGGTTCAAAAGGAGCATAAAAGATTTTGTTGCAAAATGGACAACTTACTCTTAAACCCCTAATTAGCCTGCTTGCTGATAGTTAGCCCGAAGAATAAGCTGAGTAGTATTGAGGTTGAGCGTCGAGTGTTAGGTAACGAGGGAAAATCAATCGATGAGGTTGTGAAACCACATGGATTAAAATGGCTAGACATGCTTAACACGTATCCTAGTCTGATAGGCTGCAGGATTTCATCATGAGCTGACATCAGTTAGAGAACCATTGGAAAACCTGGGATTACTGGACAGCTGTTTCGTCAGCCTAGTTTGGGACACTTCAACCTGGTAGGTTCGTGTTGATGAAGAGTGCCAAACTAGGACGGAACAGCTGTCCAGTACTCCCAGGTTTTTCCAGTGGTTCTCCAACTGATGTCAGCTCATGATCAAATCCTCCATGCAATCAAACAAGATCCCTACAAAACCGATAGTTGAAGACATGTCCTAGTCATCGCCTACCTGAATAACCAGAATTATCTAACACAGGATCAGTTTGGAAAATAGCCAGTGGTGGACAAACCAAAACAGGTAATCAGCCCATGAAATCTACGACAGTTAGTTTGAGTCACCTATTTAGGGAACTGTAGACCACCTGTTTGGAGTCCTCAGGATTCTAAGAGCCAATGGCTTGAGAATATTGGAGGTACGGATCAAAATTGTCCTCAATGGGATAGATCTATTCACTTTCTGTGATCCGCTGTATCCACTAAATCGTCATGTTTCTCCATGCTACTATCCTTTCACTCTCACATTTCTGCGTATCATCGTTCTTCTAAATGCCTTCTTTTGTCCTCCTTCGTGTGCTACATGGAGTGTAACGACTTGAACTGCTGCACTTCTGTACAAGGTTCCATGCTGAAGCCAGTCGGTTGCTCTGGAGAAGACGTAAGATTCGGAGTGAAGCTAGTAATCCAAGATGTGAATGGTTGGAAAACAGTTGATTGTCCACAGACTATCACTAGAGGATGCCATTAAGCTGGTACAGGGTGTTACTTTTCCCAAAGAGTTGGAAGCATTAAGTTCTGAATGGCTACATCAATGCCTACTGATGCTGCAAGCAAGATCGAAGTAGCTAGATATAAAGAGAAACCTAAAGCCTCGTGATCTGGTTCTATTTATCAATACTACTAACACACTTAGAGGTCTATGGCCAAAAGCTATAGTTAGGCAGGTGCACAATAAATAAGATAGCCAAGTTAGAATAATGGGTTTGAAAACCACGACTCAAAGAAGAAACTCTATAGTACTCAGAAATAAGCTCTGTCAAGAATCACTATAAAGGTTTTTGTATTTGCCAATGAATGTAAAACAAAACGACATTGTTTTTAGTGACATTTGGCTACCTTATGCTGCTAATAGTTTTATGAAAGCAGGATTATTAAACCAGAATTTATAAAATCTCAGCTTATATATGACAACTTAATCACAGTTCTTCAGCATGGGGTAATTTTCACATTGTCAAGTTGGTCAGTTGGCAAAGATAGCAAACCTTGTGTAGATTGTTAGATTTGATAAGCATATGAAATTATAAAAGCAGCATGTGTTTACATAATGAAATTACTTATCACATTCGTGTTGATTTTGTCACTTCCTGAGGAGAGTGGAGTGTTGTAACCAGGTCGAATTCTGTCTCACTCAATCATTCGTATTCAGACAATTTGAATGACGTCAGAGTTTTCTTTACAGCACCACAAGGTAACCTCGTCCTTGCAAAAGACCAAGTTCCAAATAAACAACATTCACAATCTACCTGTGTCTACGAAATGAAATGCTTGGAACGCGATGAGACATACATTGGACAAACCTCACAAAGAATCAATATCAAAAGAAATTAACATTGTGGAGCATTTATTTGACCACCAAGAAATCTAGCTCAACTAGAAAAGCTTGAAAAATTATCAGCCATAGGTCATCTACGCGCTACGCTATAGAATCAGGCCACAAAATTGACTCTAATATTATTGAAATCGCTCAGAAAAATTTCAGAAATCACGGAGAACGTCTAATATCAGAGGCACTTCATATTAAAAGGAATCCAAATTGTTCGAATAAGAATGATTGAGTGAGACAGAATTCGACCTGGTTACAACACCCCACCCTCCTCATGAAGTGACAATTTCATCATATAAACACATTCTGTTTTTATAACTCCATACGCTCATCAGATGAAACAATCTACACATGGTTTGTTATCTTTACCAACTGAACAACTTGACAATGTAAAAATTACCTCATGTTGAAGAAGGATGATTAAGTTACTGCATAGAAGCTGAGATTTTGTAAACTGTGGTTTAATCTAGCTACTTTAATAAATCTATTAGCAGCACTAAATAGAGAAATGTCAGTAAAAACAACAACAGTATCGTTTTGTTTTTCGTTCATTGTGAAACACAAAAACTTTTATAATAATGAAATAACATACACTCAATGCCCAAATATTTTCAAACTATTAAAAGTGAACTTGGTTTGGAGATATATAATCTAACAAGAATCATTATAAACGCAAGAATAGCTGTTAGCTATGGAATAATAGATTGCTATCTGTTCCTGGTTCGAAACTCTTCAGTAGTGAGGACTAATGACCTCATGTCACATAGAATATAAATTTAAAATTAGTTTAGAAACCCTCATCTAATCCTTATTGATTTCTTGTGATATTTTAGGTGATGAATATTCTTACTACCTCGTCAAGCTGTTAATGAGGGGAGACTTAGACCTGTGCAAGAACTGGCGTGGAATCATGCTTCTGTCCACGCCAAGTAAAATACTAAGTCACATCATCCTGGAGAAAATAAAGGATGCATTGGATACAGAACTCCGCCCCATTGACCAATACAAGCTGCATTCAGGTAAGGCAAATTATGTGCTGATCAAATTGCAACTCTATGCATCATCATCATCGGACAAAACATAGAATGGTAGTTAAACCTCTACCTCAACTTTATCGACTTCGAAAAGGCTTTCGGCATAAAGTGTTGCTCAAGAAGTAATCTGGAAATTACTCCAGTACTATGGCTTACAGTACCCAAGTCTTTATTAACCTCATTCAACAGCTGGATATATGACAATGCCAGGTCTCAGGTGACCCACAATGGAAAACTTAGCGAGGCGTTCGAATACTATACAGGAGTAAGACAAGCTGGCTGTCTATTATCACCGATGATATTCCTAATTGTGGTGGACTGCATTATGCGTCAGACTGTGCACAGGGAGTGAGAAGACACTAATACGTTGGACCACCGATAAGAAGACTCTAGAAGATCTGGATTTCGCACGTGGATGATATATGTCTAATGTCACACAAACTTGAAGACTTGCAGGCGAAAACCAACAAACTTGCTGAAGAATTAGAGAAGACAGGACTCCAGGTGAACATAGAGTTGATGAAGATAACTAACCAACTAACCATAACAACCAGCACCAATCACCATCAACGGAAGGGATTTAACAGAGTTTACCGCCTTCACTTCTCCAGCCAAGAAGCATCGTTTCCACTACAGGCCAGTGGAATGGATAGAGCTGTCAAAGTAGGCCAGAATTGGGAAGGCAAGATACGCCTTCATCAACTTGAAACCAGTTTGGAAATCTTCTGTACTCATTCAGCCAGCAGAAAGAACAAGATTCGGATTTCCAACACAAATTGTAAGTCACTCAGTCAGTCAATTCTTCTAAACGGGTAAGAAACTTGCACTATGTGTCACGAAAAGGAGTTCTAACAGGCCACTGAAGACTTTCATTAACAGCTGTCCCATTTGCTGTCTCCATACTGAAGATCAAATGGCCTGCCAGAAAGAATTCGTAACCGGAAATTATGGCTGCCCGGGAACAAACCAACAGGTGAGAGCCGATCGCTCAACAAATATCTAGGAGAAAAAGGAGATGGATAGGGCATCCGTTGAGGAAACCATCGAGTGACATAGCGCGATAGGACTGCCCTCGAGTGGAATCCAAATGAGATGCGGCGAGTGGGTCGTCAGTGAGAGGGTGACATGGAGGAGATCTTTTGGGGTGGAGGAGATGAGTAAGTTTGGGCAACTGTGGAGCTAGCCAGCTGAAGAGGACAGCAGAAAACAGGAGAAAGTGGAGATGTGTTGCTGAAGCCCTATACTCCACTCGGAGTCTGAGGGAACAATACTAATATATAATAATAATACTATAATCATGATTTATATTTAAACCTCCATCTTATTTTCAAGAATGGATAGATAACACAAGACCTTAAAGTACAATTGTTTTTTCTGAAAATAGTCTGAGGATTCTTACACATTCCATTATGGGTAAATTTTATTTTGATAAAGTCTCACAGTGTTATACAGTAATATTTACTGATGACGTTTCGAGCACAATTTATTGCTCATAATCATATCATATAACCTTGATATGATTATGAGCAATAAATTGTGCTCGAAACGTCATCAGTAAATATTACTGTATAACACTGTGAGACTTTATCAAAATAAAATTTACCCACAATGGAATTACACTCTACCACAGTGCCCAAGTTTTGTTCTTATATCAGTGATTCTTAAACATCCAATTCAATCTCTTTTTGACCACCTAAATATACATATATACTTTCTCCATTTTCATCCATGTTCAATATTTAATTAATAAATATGTCACTAGTTCAAAAACTGCAGGCATCATAATTATAACAAAAATTGAAAAGTTCTAATCAATACGTCTAATCAAATTAACTATTATGATTATAGTATCAACCAATCACAGAGTTATGCAGTCATTTGTGTTTACATAAACTGCTATGGCTGTTCGACATTATATCTGTGATTAATTATGTCTATATTAATACTCTTCATAGCTGATTCGTTTAACCGAATTCATGCTGTATGTTAGCACATGTCATGCATAAACACATTTTTTTTTCAGTGATTCCGTTCAAATCAGTCTGCATTCATTATTCTAATGAATAATGTTCAACACTATACGTGGCTTATTTCTACTAATTGCATTATCAACATGCATTATAATTATCAAAAGTATTGAACACCAATCACCTGTAATCATAGTTAATACATGGCCATTTCCAAATGCAACTGATGCTGGATGGAGTGTACTCAGTCCATCCAATTCTACAGTATTTGGTACATCAATCGATGCTGTTGTTGCTGCATGTACAAATGCTGAAGATGATCCAAATATTGAAAGTGTAGGATATGGATGTTCACCTGATGAAAATGGACATACCTTATTAGATGCCATGGTAATGGATGGTAAAACAATGCAGGTAAGCTGTTAGTAAGCCTTATTGAGTAGTTAATCTAAGTGAATTGACACATTTTTGATGCGATTTTTATTTTGTTATTGCTGTTGTTGGAATTAAATGGTTCTCATGTGAATCGATGCATATGTATACTCTACTGGTAGCCTCATCTCGAGACGACCACTTGAAACCACTTGATATCTTGATTGAACTCACTGATGCAGTTGTCTGAAGGTATTCGTGTCGTTGGTAAATGTTTATCAAATCACTTTGTTGACATTATTATTGTTTCCTTTAATTCCTAGAGGAACATAGGGCTTCAGCCGTGCGTCTCCATTGCGTTCGGTTCTCTGCTAGAGTCTTCACCTGGCTCCATGCCTGCCCACACATTTTCATCTCCTCTTCACATGACCTCCTTCAAGTCACTCTCACACTGACGAACAACTCGCCACTTCCCTTTCGGGTTCCACTCGAGCAATGGCTTGTCTAGTGATGTCACCTGATGATTTGTTTCCTCAGAGTATGGCCAGCCAATCCATCTCCATTTCTTCCTGCTTATTTGTTTCACAATCGGTTCCTGCTGTGTTGGTTCGCTCCCAGAGATCCCTCTCTGTTGCTGATCTTTTCTGGCCGGTCATCTGATCTTGAGTAGTATTGAGCGAAGACAACTGTTAATGAAGATCTGTAGTTTGTTTGAGATGCTCTTTATGGCGCGCCAAGTCTCTGATCCGTATAGCAGCACTGACTGATATATGATAGTAGGGTTCCCGTGGAAAATTTACGACGCACACATGCACATCATTGTCTTGTTGTGCATAAATGTTGGAAAAAATCAATACATACTCTAAAAGCTTGATCAACTACTGGGTTGCATATCTTAGAGACATTAAATTAAATGATATAAATAGTAACGACCGAAACCGACCGGTTATCATCTAAAAAGGTGTAGGGGAACGATCTTTGCATCTTACTGCATAGCTGTCCAAAACTTCCCTGAGACACGTAAATTCACGAAACGCTCCAGAAACAAGATGGTTTCTTGTGATTCTATTCAGCAATAATAACATCAAAAACTCAAAAGTACCTCAGAAGTTCTGTTAGGCAGTTATACAGCCATAAATTTTTAATTACAAAGCAAGTAGAATATTCCCAACGAGGTGGGGACAAAACCTCTGTCAGCAAGAATCCCACACCAATAAATCCGGAAAACAGTCCAAGGTCAGAGTGACCTCGACTCACTCGAACAAAATCGCAGTCGTATAACAACACATTATCAATATCACCACACAACCACAAGAAGAACCATCGAAATTAGAAATTAAACAGTGCCAAGGACAAATAATAAGCGTCAAGTCAACATGTGATATGCAAATGTCAGAACAATGACGGACAGTCTAGAAGGAAAACGGATAGTGATTACAAAGTTCGTTGAAACATCCAAATAAGAATGCATATTGTAATCAGATTGTTCAAGAGGGATTTTCAAAAAGAATTTTTCGTTTTCAGCAATTTATTCAAAATACTGTATAAGTAAGGCAACATTACAAGTTTTGGCTCTGCTGAGCTGTCTGGGCTATAGGGTTTGAGAATTTAGAGAACAGAGTAGAAGTCAAAATATCTCATTATCTTAAGAAATAACAATTTGTAGATAGAAGAGATTTTGTTCAGTATATTATGTCAAGTAGACTAAACCACACAAAAAATACCAATCATTTTAAAACACAAAAGGATGCATTGCTTCAAGTAATGTTTCCATTTTTTGTTCTTGACCTCTTCGAACATATGTACTGTAGTTGAGTGTAAACTTCTTTGGTGAATGTAGCCCAAGTAGCCTAGTGGAAACACTTTGGCGTTCGGAACGATGGGTTTTGGAATTCAAGTTTCAATGGGGACAACATCATTCATTGGAGATAGCAGGTACACCCAGTTGATGAGTCCCAAATAGGATAAAATGCACGCCGTGGATTCCATTGCTATTCATCATCCACAAAACGGCACCATCTCACTCCTCAGATATGGTCGCAGCAGCTATACTAGGAGCCGGCATGTCAACAGAAGCTGAACATTGCAGTCCAATAAGCCAACTGGGAAATCTGCATTGAGAAACTTGGCTACAAGGTTTTTTCAATTCCTGTTCATACTTATGCTACATATGCATTTTTTAACAGATAAATCTTCTGAGACGAAAAAATATTAAAAAAGGATTGTACCGATTCCGAATGATGAACCTTCTTCCTACAAATCTTGACTATTATTTGATATTCAGAATTACTCAAGAAAAATGACACTTGTACATGTGTTACCGTAGTGACACGAAATCCAAAGTGAGTAAAACACAATGGCTCATTCACTTCAAGTTAACACAGTCATACTGATATGTCTGTAAATACTAATAATAATACAGTGATTTAGATTCAATACAGAGATGTAATGGGTAACTGGATTGAATTATATTGAATACCCGGTGGGCTATGGGCAAAAAGCAAAAAACAGGATCGGCCTGACCTGGTGAGAATAATTCACAAATTAACACACTGGGCCACTTCAGCATACATATACCGATTCACCTGCTCTTGTGAAGCTGAGTACATTGACCGTACCATGCATCCTCTAGTAAAACGCGCTCGGAAACACTGTCCAGACTACCTGGAGAGTAGAGGGAGATTGCAGGTGTGTGTATATTCTTTGGAAGCAAAACATCTCGTAAACTCAAAATATTCAGCTCCATCCATTCGAAATGTCCTTCAGAGTCATCTAAAACATCTGATGAAATCTCTTCAAGGGAGTGAAATCAAAACATCTAGGCACTAGTGATCTGAAAATTCAAGCCCACTCTATTTATCCAAAAGAAATTTGTCCAACCATTAACTCTACCACTACCATCATATACAATCATTTCTTTCTTATCCAAATCTCCTGTTTATTTCTGTCACTTTTGCTTTTTTTTTAAATCCCTAATAGCACTCCTACATTTTCTTTCCACGCTACCTTTCTATTTTGTTATTACTACGTTTTAATCCGTAAATGTAATCTTGTTAATTTGCCCCCTGATCGGGTGGAAAAAGTTCGGATAGAGTGTAACTTTGTTTCTCTCTTGTTTCTATGACTGAGTTGAACTCAGCACATTATTGCTCAATTTACTAGCTGCTCACCATCTTATTCACGTCTTGTGTTTATCACGTAACTCTACTACCATTGTATCCAAGGCCTTATTTTTTGTTAAAACTTGAAGTTTCTGGGTATAGATTATAAAAGTGTAACTTACAAGCACTGTTTATTATGTTTGGAGTCTCCCGTCATTAAGTGACATTATGTAACATTTACAAGTTGTCCTGTACATAGACTCATTCATTTCTTTTACTCTGTTGATAATGAGAGGTCGATGAAAGGAATGAGAGTAGTATTTTATTCTGCACAAGCCGTTGTTCTTCCTTATCTTCGCAAGTAATAAAATGAACTTCACGACCATTAAATAAATATAACAGTTTAAACAAAAATGTATCCTAAGGAACTTCAGTAATGTTTACCTCTTTTCGGTATGAAGACAAACAGAACTGAATCCATCAATGGCTGCTAAGTTGTTTGTATAAACGTATATCAAAATGAAAGTGGCCACGTAAAGTGTGTTACTCTCAGGATTGTAAGTAGTATACAGATACAAATATTAAATGTTTGTCATCTGAAAGGACATCGAATAGCAGAGATATGGGTAGAATCAGTGGTGAATATATGTATAAAACATGGGCACTGTGGTAGAATATAGCTCCATTATGGATAATATTTTATTTCGATAAATCACACAGTGTTATACAGTGATATTAACTGATGCGACCACGTTCCGAGCACAAACTATTGCCACTCATAATCATATCAAGTCACTCACTAACACAAATTTTTTACTTCATTTATATACATGAGTGAAATTGATTAGATATTTGAATAAAAATCAATAGGAGATAATGTACATTCAGAAATAATAATATGAGTGTTATTGATCAAATACAATTAGATGGGAAATAAGACGAGTGTTTTTATAGTCATATTAAGTAACTTCTTAGAATGTTGTGATGTGTTTGAATTGAGATAGAATTTTGAGATTATTTATTATCCTCCTCTGATTTGACTGACTGGTGGTAATAATATCTTCCATATCTCTGGTATTTGCATTGAGTCATTTCTGTTGCATGTGTTGGGTTGAGTAGACTGGATGAACCAGGATTCAGTAGTCAATGTCTCTCTATCGTCACCTACCCATTTTACTTTTTAGAATTTTGACTCTGTCCCACCCGCCCTATTGTGTGGCTATGTTAATGCATGCAGTGCGATTGCTTAGTTTTTTCTAAATTACTTATATTCGTGGGTTCAATCATTCTAACTTTCCATAAATTCTTATTTTCTGACAATCTCACTACTCCTGATCTACTGGTCTGTTTGACTTATGTAGTTGACATCACAGTCATTGCAAGGTATTTTGTAAATTATATTATTCTGTCTAATTGGATCAACCTTCATGGTCCTTTAACCTACAGAGCTTGTCCCTGAGTGAGTTTGTAGGTTTAAATGCCACCCTAATTCCTGCTTTATTAAGAATCCTACGTAGGGTCCCAGATATCCCCTCCTTATATGGTATAACTTTAGATGACTTATTCTCTCTCTTATTTATGTTATCATTACTAGTTTCACAATTATTTTTATCCATAATGGAATCAGTGGTGAAGCGAAGAAATGAATGGTGCTTGTGGAAAAATAAGGAAAACGTGGAAGGAAGACAAAGAAGTACAATACAGAAGGCATGTGCAAATTGTGATTCTAACATTTTGGTAGACGTATCTGGCATATATCGATACACCGAGTTGGCTGTGAATAAGTTTGTCACCAGGCCAGAACCTCGAGTGGAACCTCAATGGGAAACAACGCGTTCATCTTATGCTCGAGGGTGACATGGAGCAGATTGTGTAAGGAGAAGATGAGAGCCTATGCGGAATCGCTGGGCTAGCTGAAGGGGACTGCAGAGAACAGGGTCAACAGTGAAGCCGTATGTTTCACTCGGAACCCAAAGGAACAATAATAATATACTCTTGTGTTATATCGCTACAGCACTTTATAGATGGTTGGCGAATGGACAGTTATATATTTCTGAATTTATTCCATCAATGGCCTATCAAGTAAAGACATCAACTGCTAAAGCTACGGTTATACCCATCATCAATGTTCTACAATGCTCCATCGATCACCTCAACCGCTTAATTAGTCAGAAAACACATACACACACTGATATGTGTATGAAAGCGTATTTATACAGAAGAGTTGGGAGTAAATAGTAACAAGACTGAGAATGTATAAGCTGGCTAATTCTGACCAGGGGTACTGGAATTCTAAGAAAGCATAAAATCGATTGCTTGTCTGTAAATCCAGTTAGTAATCAACGTTAAAACACAGTAAACGCCGACCAAAAAAATTTCAAGGTAGTTGTCAGACAGCGAAGAAGAACAGTTACTCGCCGCTGACACTGGCTGTTGGTTGCGCTATATATAGGTCACTATAGATCAGACCTCAGTGAGTGAAGACTACTGAAGAATCCCGAATTGGAGTAAAATAGTTATCCAGTACCCCCTTGGTTTCCCAATTGTTCTCTAACTGAAATCAGCTCGGGGGCAAACCAAAAAGGAAGGTAAGCGTTTAACTTGGTTTAAGCACTGTCCGTCTCACATTCTACTACCATGGTGAAGTATGTCTAAAACGTGTCTCATCTGAAATCTATCCCTTATATTCAAGGCTGGAGCAGTAGCATCAATGCCTGAGATTCGACAAGCATCTCAAGTAGCACGCGAGGTTTTATTCAGTACAAAGCATACACTGTTAGTAGGACAATCAGCAGCAGAGTTTGCAAAGTCAAGAGGATATCAGCCAGCTTCCTTGGATACTCCTAAATCCCATGCTTTGTGGTTAGAATGGAAAAAACACAATTGTCAACCAAATTTCCGTAAACCGGAGGCTTGGATTCCAGATTCTACAAAATCATGTGGACCATATCATCCCAAACAATTGAGTAAGTTGACGTATGTAAAAATTATATTTGTAAGGTCTTAGCGAGATTGGTATAAGTAATTCTAACATTTCATTCTGCGAAATGTTCCGAACTTCTGGGAAATCAGTCAAAATTAAAATAATAAAAAATATATATATCTTGTCTTCAGATTCCATGTCCAATTATTTGAGTAGTGAACAGACATCAAAACAAAATGACCAAAATTGCATAAACTGCGATTAACAGAGTCAAACACCTAGTTACTGAGGGAGAACAGACTAACAGGGACTGAAAATTGATTCAATCTACTCTTGATTCAAATAGGTAACCGAAAGCAGCATTTATCAAAAGGTATTTAGAAAACACAACGGAGTGAGTGAAGAATTATACATTCCTTCTCAGTTAGTTTCTCAACATCGGCTGACTCTACACTTATATATAGTTTTTCCCATCAAAATTTTATATAATCGAGTGGTTATTTCAGTCAATCAGTTTTAGGCATACGGGGTTGTGGTGATATGCGATGAAAGTTAAAAGGACAAATTGAAGGTCAAAATAGCAATGACGATCATCCGTAGAACCTATTATGCAGCCCAGCTTGTAATTGTCGAAAAACCTAAAAATATGTTCCACTGCAAAACTCAAAAGTGAACAAGTGATTATATCACATCCCACACAATTTACCAATTTTCGTGTGTGTGTGGTCACACATACATAGAGAGGAGTAATCGCGCTTTGCATGTGAGGGTGGGAGAGCATATCCCAAAATGGCTAGAAAAACAAATGAATTGTGAAAAACCAATAGATGCAGGTGTCATACTACCAACAACTTCGTCTATAGCTAAACACCTAATCGAGATGAATCATAAAATTGATGTTAACTCAGCCTTTAAGGTTATCTATAAAAAATGGTCAAGGGCGCTTATTAAAATACGCTGAGACTGAAGTTATTCACAAACTTAAGCTTCCCCCCCTCTGTGTATTCAAAAACACTTTATTATTACTCTTAACCTACCTTGGTAATCCTTATTTGATTGGATTACCAAACGTTGTCTTAATCATTCTTAAATTCTATTTTTGTCACTTTGTTTAATTTAATTTGGGCATTGGGTATATTATATTCAAGATAATAAAGGTTTTTGTATTTCCCAATGAATGAAAAACAAAACGATATTACTGTTTTTACTGATGTTTCGCTATTTAGTGCTAATAGCTTTATCAAAGTATTATTAAACCGGAATTTACGAAATCTCAGCATATATATAACAAAGAGTTAAGAAGTGAGAAAATAGACTACTTAGGTCAAGTTAAAGGGACATATTGAAAGTCATAATAACAATGAAGATATTCATGTATTGGTTTGTAGGGATTTGGTTGATTGGTTACAGGATTTAATAATGAGCTGACATTGGTTAGAGAACCATTGGAAAACCTGGGAGTACTGGACAGAAGTACTGTCCCAAACTAGGACGAAACAGCGGTTCAGTACTCCCAGGTTTTCCGATGGCTTTCTAACCAATGTCAGCTCATGATGAAATCCTGTAAACAATGAAAATCACTAAACCAAATAACTTGACCTAAGTCTATTTTCTCACCTCTGAACCCTTTGTTATATGTATGCTGAGATTTTGTAAATTCTGGTTTAATAATACTTTGATAAAGCTACTAGCATTACATAGCGAAACGTCAGTAAAAACAATATCGTTTTGTTTTTCATTCATTTGTTTATTGTTTAATTTAACTCTTTCATATCTATCGCAAATACATCACATTTTTCAGATCATCTCCGTATTCTAATAACGCTATCTAAATTTATAAAAGGGACTAATTGTTTTAAGTAGATCACTTAACCAAATAAGAGAGGTAATAGTACATCTGCCATGGCTGGTATCAAAACAAAGTTTACCAAGGAAGGTTTAGTGTGATGACGAATTGTTTTTGAACGCATAAAGGTGGTTTAAACTTTCTAAATGCTGGGGCTTCCACAAACCTTAGGATACGCCCCAAACACACTTTCTAAATAGGCTTAAAAGACGAGTAAACATCAATTTTATGTTCTGTCTGTATAATATGTTTCGCAATAGAGAAGCTAGGTCGTCAGTTTTCCCTATTTAATGGGTGTTGGGATTCTATTTGCTTCTGGAGCTATTCAGGAATATGCTATGAAGACCTCCCTGTGTATATATGTCCACACGAAGATTCAGATTGGTAAATACAGTGGGGTGTGACATCATTCGCCTAGTGTTCTTTCATTTTAAAGTCTTATAATCCATGTTTGCACTATTACTTTTTTATCCTAAATTCCTGCCCATTTTGTTATTACTACATTTTTATTCCCTATTTGTAAACTTGTTAATTTGACCCTCGATGGGGAACAGTTGTTGAACTTTCTCACCAATTTACAGAAAAACTATCTAGTTGGCCACTTCTTCGAAAAGAAAATTTTCTTCTCTGCAACTATCTTTTTAATATTTCCTATGATCTCATATCTGCATTCCGTGAAATGTATTATTCGTCTGAGTAATCATCTGAACGACTAATAATCGATGAAGGAAGACGAGTTTCATTATAAATTACCTATATTTTATCTTCACTATTATATACACATTGATCCCTGAACTATTTCAATAGGAACAATGAACACATTTAACAAATAACACGTATCCGTGTCGTGATAACCCTATTGAAATTAAGAACAAGCGTATCTCAGTTTGGATCTAAATTTATGTAGCATGAACATGGCGGAAAATCCCAGATTTGCAGTATAAAATGATATCATTCTATTTCACAGGTTCTCATCAGCTGCAAACCACCTGAAATTACAATGGTTATGAATAATAACATTTCATACTTGATTGTTTGATTTGTACGATTTACTGAAGCAACTGAAATCAAACTTCTCAGACCAAACTTATGCACACAGAAAGAGAGTGTAGTCAATCTCACTCCCTTGGTAACCGTATTATTTTCATTACACTGATTAGTCATACACACTAGTGAGCTCAGCTCACTAAGCAGGTTTTCAATTTGATGAACATTAACCTTTTTGAGTTGTCATGTTGACGTACACGCTGCCACAGTTTATTAGATTTTTCTGTTTTCTGTCTTCTCTCACTCCCCTTCTTTTTCGTAGTTTGATAGCATATAAATTGGTGGTAATTTAAACTAAAAATTGTAATACTTATATTCCGGATGCGTTCATCTTATGATATTTTCTCTATTACCTTTCAAACATTGAATTATGAAATGTTATTATTCATAACCATTGTAATTTCAGGTAGTTTGCAGTTAGCTGATGAGAACCTGTGAAATAGAATGATATTATTTTACACTGCAAATCTGGTTTTTCTTTCTCTATCGAAACAATAGCTTAATTCTGAACAGTGTTTTAATATAATTTACAGAATTTTCAGCAGAAGTCACTGTGTAATAGTTTCGCTTTGTCCGGGATCTTTAAGTATAACCATAATTGACAGTGGATTGGAAACCATCTCCATATGATATTTCTTCTTTGTCTACTTCTCCTTTCATTGAAAACCGATCAAAAAAGGGTTCAGGAGTTCATTTTGAGACCCAAGGACATAATAATAACTGAATATACACATTTGATTATAGGGAATAACAAAAAGACGGATGCAGCGAATAAAATTTTCTTTTCGACGAAGTCATCAACTAGGCTGTACATTCGTGTATTTATAGTAAATGGATGAGAAAGTTCCAGAACTATTTCCGGTCAAAAGGTCAAATTAATAAAATTCCAATGAGGAATTTAAATGCCATAATAAACATGGGGACGGATAAAACTCAAACAAAGTAGCATCATAATTACTGAGAAGATTGACATATTGTGCAATTAGGGATTAAATATGTAGAAATAATAAAATGACAAAATAGGCAGGAAGTTCGGAAATAAAAATATGGTAGTGTAAATAGGGATTAAGAAAAACTTGAAAATAACATGAATAAACAGGAAGTTTGGATAAGAAAGTCAATGGGATGGTCATTACTAAAAGGATTACCTGTTTATGATGGCCATGGCAAGAACAAGGGTTGGACGTATTTCTTTTGGATACATAGCTTGAGTTTGAGCTTTTGGATGGCTAGTGCCTCGGCTATGCCCAAATGTCTTGATTTTACTCCCGTTGATAGGTTTGATCGAATCCTGTATATTATTTTGAAGGATTTTTCGAGTGGCGCTGAATGTCCTGAGTTGATCAGATGTTCTGTCACTGAACTATATACACGTTTTCGTTCTCCTTTCACTATCCAGGTTGGATAGTGTTCATGAGCGCATTTTACAAGTTGGCGCATGGTACGGCCAATGTACTGAGTTCAGCACGAGCAAGTAAACTGGTGTATGCACGTTGAAGTAGCCCAATGCGACAGCTTGTCTTTCGCGTTCTGGCTGAACAGTTTTTTGCAGGAAAATCTCAGTCGTAGGCTTGCAGCCAAGTATGTTTGCCTCAGAGATTCGCATAGGCGTTTACGAAGCATTTCTGCTGCAGTGTCACCTTTGAATTCTAAATTAAGCAGAAGCATCTTCTTCGGGACAGACTGGATTTGTTCAGAAGTTTTCTTTGATTTTAAATTCTTGTCTATGAAGCCAGGTGGAAAACCGTTTTCCATCAAGCTTCCTCGGAGATTACGCAGTTCTTTGTCAATCAATTCCTCACTGTATATCTTCCAAATCCTCGAGGAAAGAGTGTGTTAAGGTCCCTCTTTCTGCTTAGGAGTACGAAGCTTTGAAAATTGATGAATGGTCCATGTCATGTAGGCTTTCTGTATATGGACCTTTCCAGAGAGTTGAAGATTGCTTTATTTCTCAGACAGTGACGGTTTGTACTGAAAATCTCAGGAACAGTTATCTCATGTATCGGAATATGTTTCTACCCGCGAGTTTGCTTTTTCTCAAGTTTAATAGAAACTTGCCAATCAATAGATTGTAGATATTTTAAATACATTATTACAGTACTATTGCTTTGCATATTATTGTCATTAAAAGATCATTTTCTTTTTTCTAACATGACTTCTTTTGAACATTATTCTCTTGATCACAGAAGATATCAATGCATTCAACCTAAATGATCATAAAACCAATAAATTAGACATCAATAATCATGATACAATCGGTGTTATTGCACTTGATGCTTATGGATCAATGGCTGTCGGTACATCGACAAGTGGATCAAAGTTTAAAATTCCTGGACGTGTTGGAGACTCACCTATTCCTGGAGCTGGTGGTTATGTTGTTAATAATGTATGAATAATATTCATTGCTTGTATTTGGTATGATTGAATTCTAGGTTATATGCCTTGAATCGATTACATATTGTATTTATTAAAATGTATTTAAGATCCTTAATTATCAAAGCTGCATGGTTAGTTAACTTAATTCAAAGTCTTAGATTTTTAAGCTTTGATGAAAGGCAACCAACCTGACTTTAATAAAATTGGTAGAAGTTGGAATTCATGCACTGACTCGCCATTCAGTTGGGTCCCAGTAACTGAATGCTATGCGAACTCAACTTGTAATCAGAGGGTCCTGAGTTCGAACCCTTTCGGTGGGTGCCTGTTGCTGAAGAGCACTACACTAAGATGACGTAACAACTGTTCAGTATTCCCAGGTTTCCCAATGGTTCTCTAACCAATGTCAGCCTATGATGAAATCCTGTAACAAATCAGTCAAATCCCTAAAAACCAATACCTGAATGTATAAGCTATTTGATACACAGGCTCCGAGTAGTTTAACTGATCTACTGATTAGTGAACCTGTTGATTTAATTGATGTGACTTGTTCATTGGACACAGGTTATTGCTACAAACAGCTTCATAATAATTAACAGAAGCGTGAATGAAAAGACGAATAGCGAAACATGACATTTCGCTATAATCTTCGTTAACTGTGAGCATCAATTCTTGTGAGTTATATTTCTATATTTAATAATTATCAATATTTCTTCCCTTTAGTCTACATCGATTTTCGTTACTTGCCTGAACTCCTAATTACTTTTTATGTCTTTCTTAATAGGTTAAGATTATTGTTATTAGATGGTTGGAAGCAATTGGCGGGAAGCCTTGGATTTAGGTTTCGTGCTAGGTAACACTTATCATCAGGGCGTATCTGCAACCTCAGAGGAACTCATGTCCCTTCTGAGATTTGAACCGGCGTCACCCAGTGCTACAGTCAGAGAAGTTAAGATTATCTCTTATAGTCGTCTGTCATTTGTTTTGACCAATTTAAGTTACAGTTGAGTTCATAGTAGAATTTGTATTAGCTAATACATAGTTTTATGAGTAAATACAGTGACTTACAGTTCATTATTTATTCACTAATCATATAAGAAATGGTTTAAATCCATCCTATCTGACCCTCAACACCGTCTCTATTCACAACTCTCCCCATGCATCTCATTGCATAGGATTAGAAGTCATTATAGAAGATTATACGCTCCCACAACTAAGTACAAAAACTCAACAGCACCCTATTTGACTCGCATTCTATATAATAGAGATAGTGTTAAGCGTGAAATTTACAAAGTACTATAGAATTAACCAAATAAATGACACTTTTACCCCCTCCTAGTTGTAATTTATAGTGACTCTATTTTGATTATCTTATAATTATAGTTATTAACATCATTACTATTCCTAACATTGTAGGCTTTTTTCTAAATTGTTGACTTTGTTGTCACTGCTAATACCAAAATGTTGCCATTATCAATTTTGGTTACCTCCATACCCTGTAATGTGTTTCGTTGTTGAGACAATAAGTTGTAATATTGTAACAAATACTGAGAATTAATTCCACACTGTATCATAAGTACTGTTTTGGAGTAAATCAAATTTTTATTTTAACTGTTATTATATAAATAAATTAAACTTGTGGGATACATTTGAAGGCATTGTTAGACTTTAGGCATCAATGACACTGAAACACTCAGTCAGTAAGTTAGTGAAAACAGATAGATAACGCTATGATCATGAATAAAATATGCTCAATTAATGGATATCTGATACCTTTTAGGTTACGTCTGGGAAAGATTAAGTTGAGGTTTAGACTGGGGATGGGTTAAGGTTAAGTTAACCTCTTTATGGAGACATTAGGATTAGTTCGAGGTAGTAGATCAGAGTACGTGCTAGAAGACCAAACATTCATCTTCCAACGCTATAGTTCTTCCCAAGGTCATTGGTGCGTTTGCACTCCATTGTTGTCGAATGTTTAACTTCATGCATATCTCATTTGTTTGCAAACCTATTTTTAAGACTGAAATTAGATATTATTTTTTATCATAAAAATACACTACATGAATTTTCAAGAGTTAGTTTGTAGTGATTGGAATAAATTTCAAGTTTGGCCATGGATTGATATCAGTTAGAGAACCACTGGAAACCAATAGAAAGTACTCTACATAGATTCCTTCCTAGTTTAGGGCTTTTCAGTGGTACACACTCAGCAGGGTCCGAACCCAGTTATCAAACTTTAAACAGATCTAATCCCTACAGACTAACTCTTGAGAAATAATTCCATTATGGGTAAAATTTGTTTTGATAAAGTCTCACAGTGTTGTACAGTAATATTTACTGATGACGTTTCGAGCACAATTTATTGCTCATAATCATATCAAGGTACTCACACAATAAACTGTGCTCGAAACGTCATCAGTAAATATTACTGTGTAACACTGTGAGACTTTATCAAAACAAATTTTACCCATAATAGAGTTATACTCTACCACAGTGCACAACTCTTATTCTTATATCTTGAGAAATAATCCAGTGCCTGCCGGTGACTGGCTACATGAAAGCATTGACTAGAGTTCTAGTGAGGAGTTCTGACCACTGGTGCCCACGAAGTCAGGCGTAAGGACAATACTCATCGATGACACTGACTGCTTGTCGCGCTAAAATCACAAATTGGTAGCCGTCGGAATTCATGGGCTGGCCACTGAATAGGGTCCCAGCCGATGGATGGTCTACGGGCTTGACTTGTTATCGTAATGTCGTGTGTTCGAAGCCAAGTAAGTACTTACTGACGAAGAGTCTAAAGGTGCGACGAAACGGCTGCCCAGTAGTCCCAGGTTTTCAATGGTTCTTTAACAGACATCAATCTGTGGTCAAGTTTGTAATAATATATTGGGGTTAACCAAACGTTTGCCTAAAAAACCTTTTGTTACTTAATGAAGTAAACATTTGTTAGGAGGTTGATTTCAGTCGGTTGGCAGCCCTGGACCAGGACTTCATACCTACTTCCAGTCGGCAGCAGGTGATATCTTCAGTCTGGAGGGAAATTATACCTCATTTGCACATCTGAAGCATAGTCAGAGGGTTTACTATCGATTCCCACACAACTGCAATTGCTACGTACATACGTGTATAATTTAGTAATCTATTAAGCCTATGAACCCGTGTATTGGAATTTACAGCAGTAACTGTTGTCCATCTTTCTCACAGGGATAAAATGTCTATCAGGTTAAAATGTGATCCTCATAAAATAATTCACATAAATATTCAAGGCTAATACTAGATGGTTGGAGGAATTCATCGTGAGTACACATCAATTAGAGAACCACTGGAAAACCTGGGAGTACTGGTTAGCTGTTTCTTCAGCTTAGTTTGGGACTCTTCATCAGTACTCAACCACCACAGGAGTTCGAACCCAGGACTTGCTGGTTACAGGGCGAGCCAGCTCGTAGACCATGAAGCCACTGGGACCCAGAACAATGTCCGACCCATGAATTCTTACTTCCACCAATTCACGACAGTGCAACCAATTAGCATGATGCACGAATAACCATGGTAGCAATAAAGCTCAATAATTAGGAAAATTGGGGATTATACAAACTAAGTGAATGATTTGTGTGATTGTGTTCATATGCCTATATCTTAAAGAATAAACTGTTGTTGAATAGTCACTTGGTGAATAACACTGTATTACTGTAAGTTTTATCGAATGAATTTATCACATACTCAGTTTCACCCTAGCTTGGTGCTTGAGTTCTAATTTCAACTTAAAAACCTGAATTTTATAAAATAAACTGATTAATGAACAATATAAATTCACCACCATGTCCTGCATTTATATGACAGTGATAGCTACAGAAATGTTGTTACTAATAGCATTAGCATTTTGAATTACATTAAATCAGTAGTATCCACAGATTACATTATAAAAAGTATCAGTAACAGAGAGAGAGAGTTAATATGCATTAATATAACACTAAACTCAATGAATATCAGATAAATTAAGGGAAGTAACTTAGGGTTTATGAATTCATAAGTTCAACGGCAGGCCAGGGTAGCAACAGTGGCTGGTTTTATCTGTTTCTTTTTGAACACAGAGTTCAGGTTGATTTAAGGGAATTACAGTGGCATCTTCTGTTTGCAGTGTTCGGTATCTAGTGCCCTCTGGTAATTTATTCGTTAACCTACAGATGATAGAGAAAGATTCTTCAATGCTAGCTAGCTAGCTAGCTTTGAGGCCTCTTTAGACGAGGTGACTTAATTTCTAACTGTTGATGGTTTTAACAAAACCTTTATTTAACCACACTCGTAGGTGTTCCGGAGCACGAGAAATTAGGCTCCTAGAGGAATTACCACTATAAATAGCCCTACAATAGAGGCTGAACCGATAGGGAGAATTAGAGGTGGTTAGCCTAGGTACTTGTCATCTTTCAGTTCTGGAATCACAGCCAATTGTATGGAAAATATGAGCTGCCGCTTACCAGAATTAAACGTTCTTTCAGTCGATTTTCTCAACGTGTTAGTAACTTTACTTAGTATATCAGATTTAAAATTCAGTTGTATGTGTAGGGAGAGGCATCTTGTTAACAAATACAGAAAAATTGTTTTCTACTTTATTGGCTATGTGTGTTTAGTGATGAATTAACTACTCAGGGTAGCTGTTTTCAGTTAACGTGTCGTATAAAACCATGAGTCCGTTTTCAATCGAAACTTATAAACAGATAGCTCTTACCTTATAGCTGAGGGTCATTACTAAATGTTTTCTATACTGGAGGGGAACAAAGCTGTGAAAATGTGTACACTGACCAGTCCAACTACTTTTCTTATGCAAATACCTTACTAAGCTCCCATCTGGTCTTCTTTTCATTAGGGTGCATAAAAACGCAATTTTACTTTGGGATTCTTCTTCACATATGAAATTGATAACTGAATGTAGTTGTTTGATTTTAGATGTTATGGCACAGCTGTCCAAATCATTTTGAAATAGGACGAACGTATCATCCATATACCGGGCAAGAAAATGAAAATTTTCTTATAAGGTTGTTCAAAAGAGCATGTTCTAGTTTACTCAGAAAAGAAATCTAATAACATGGGACTCAGTGCAGAGCACACTGACACTCCATCCACCTGTTTATAGAGTTCACCATCAAATTTAAAATTCACATTCATGGTACACTCTTAGTAACGATTCTTTTAGGATTTCTACTCGGATTCCAATATTTATCGACTTAAATTTTCAACAGTTTGGTTTGTAAGGATTAGATTTTTTAATGCAAGTTTAACCACTGATTGAATTCAGTTACAGAATCACTGAAAACTAGAGAGTATTGGACAGCTGCTTCGTTAGACTAGTTTGGGACTCCTCATCAGTACGCACCCACCACAGGGGTTCGAACCCGTGACCTTCTGGCTACAAGGCGAGCTCGTAGATCATTAAGCCACTGGGACTCGAACCCATGAATTCCAACAGCTGCTAATTCCTGACTTTAGCGTGGCCACCAGGTAATGTCATTGGTGAGTAGTTGTCCTCACATCTGACGTGGTGGGCACCACTAGTCAGAACTCCTCACTAAAACTCTAGTCGATGCCTTCATGTAGCCAGTCACCGGATGGCACCAGACTAATTCTCATGAGCTACTCTGTAAGAACTTGATCTGTTTCAAGTTTGATTACTGCGTTCGGATGCTGCTGAGTATGTAACACTGAAGATTCCTTAACTATGAAGGAACTTGAAATTTATTCCAGTCACTACAAACTAACTCTTGAAAATTCATATATTTTATTTTTATGATAAAAAAATAATATCGAATTTCGGTTTTGAAAATGGATATACAAATAAATGTCCGATGAGTGAAGTTAAACATTCGACAACAATGGAGTGAGAACGCACCAATGACCTTGGGAAGAACTATAGCGTTGAAAGGTGATTTGTCCGTCTTTTAACCCTTCCCCTAACCTACTATCTCCAACCAACCTTAATATCCCCCTAAAAAGGTTAACTTAACCTTAACCCATCCCCAGTCTAAACCTCAACTTAATCTTTCCCAGACGTAACCTAAAAGGTATCAGATATCCATTAATTGAGCATATTTTATTCATGATCATAGCGTTATCTATCTGTTTTCACTAACTTACTGACTGAGTGTTTCAGTGTCATTGATGCCTAAAGTCTAACAATGCCTTCAAATGTATCCCACAAGTTTAATTTATTTATATAATAACAGTTAAAATAAAAATTTGATTTACTCCAAAACAGTACTTATGATACAGTGTGGAATTAATTCTCAGTATTTGTTACAATATTACAACTTATTGTCTCAACAACGAAACACATTACAGGGTATGGAGGTAACCAAAATTGATAATGGCAACATTTTGGTATTAGCAGTGACAACAAAGTCAACAATTTAGAAAAAAGCCTACAATGTTAGGAATAGTAATGATGTTAATAACTATAATTATAAGATAATCAAAATAGAGTCACTATAAATTACAACTAGGAGGGGGTAAAAGTGTCATTTATTTGGTTAATTCTATAGTACTTTGTAAATTTCACGCTTAACACTATCTCTATTATATAGAATGCGAGTCAAATAGGGTGCTGTTGAGTTTTTGTACTTAGTTGTGGGAGCGTATAATCTTCTATAATGACTTCTAATCCTATGCAATGAGATGCATGGGGAGAGTTGTGAATAGAGACGGTGTTGAGAGTCAGACAAAATGGATTAAGAACATTTCTTATATGAGTAGTAAATAAATAAACAAATGATGTTCAAGTATTGGTTCGTAGGGATTTGCTGAAGAGTCCCAAACTAGGACGAAATAGCGGTCCAGTACTGCCACGTTGTTTTCTAATGGTTCTCTAACTGATGTCAGCTCATGATGAAAACCTGTAACCTCATACATTCACTTTGTCAGTAAATACAGATTAACAAAGTGCAGTCTATTATATGGTTTGAGGCAATCGGCAGGAAGCCTTGCTTGACCTGGTTTCGTGCTAGTTGGCAATCACCAGTCAGCAAGGCGTATCTTCAACCTTGAAGGGACTTATGTCCCTTCTGAGATTCAGACTCGTGTCATCCAGTTAGAGCTGCAGTCAGAGACATTACCGCTTAGCTATTGACCTCCTGTGGGACTGTAGTGGATACTTTGATTGGACACTAGTAACTAGTGTGATTTGTCTAGTCCTTTCCTTGGTGCAGACTGAGTTCTATCAGTCAGGCTTGCGATGTGGCCACCATTTTAGGTAGCTCACCATCATTGGTGAACAATGATTTGAGGATATTAGATGGTTGGAGGCAACCGGCAGGAAGCCTTGGACACACATTATTTAATAGTGTCCAATCAAACCGCAGCGTATTGAAAAACTTTGCTTTTGTAATGATAATGATAACGGTAATAGCTTTATTCTGAACAATGTCTACATAATGTATAGAACTTTCAGCGGAGTTTATTGCATGATAGTTTGTCTTCGTTCAGTAATTTCAAACAAAAGATTAACTGACAATAGATCATGTGACACAGTTCTGTCTGACCTGAAGCGCAAACCAATCCATTATGATATCTCTTCTTTGTCTCACTTCTTAAACACATGCATACTATTTGCTTGAATGACAATTATAAAAAGTTAAGGAGTACATTTTGTACACCAAGGATACCACCACTCAGGAACGGTCAGCTCATGTACTGGGAAAAGCTGCCATCGAGGATTATGCTTTTCCTCATGCTTAGTAGTAACTTCCGAAGCAACAGGCAGTAAATGTTCGAAATACTCGCCTAAGTAAATAATACTATTAGAGGTCATATTTTACTAGATTCAAACAAACTGAGTAAGAAAAACTATATGCAGTATATTGATAGAGGTTTTCGATAGCTCAAAGTTTTCAGCAGGCCGCCAAAGGAAAATGGCTTTTACAATTGGTACTAGTCTTTTGGCAGGCAGCTCAATGATGAAATGGTCTTCATCCTTTGAAAACTTTTTGTGTATGTCTTGGTCACCCTTACAAGTTTGACCACGATGTAACATCAGTTAGATAACCACTGGAAACCAGGGAGTACTGGACAGCTTGATACTCTTCGTCAGCAGGCACCCACTGGGTTTCGAAACCAAGACCTTCCGATTACAAGTCAACCTTGTGTATCGTTAACCGACTGAGATCGGATTCAAAGCCCCACACATGCTCACTTCCACCATGGAACTCACTTGATGACGTCAGAAGTTGTACTTTCATTTTAAACAGCTTATTTGTCAGCTGATATTCACGATTTTTGTTTTATTCACCTTACTGTGAGCAGTTTTACTTATATACACCGACTACATTTAAATTACGCAACTTAACTTTTGATATGATTAATTTTTAACTTATGCAGATTGGTGGTGCTGTAGCCACTGGTGACGGTGATCTCATGATGCGTTTTCTTTTAAGTTTCCAAGTTGTTGATTATCTACGACAGGGGATTGGTCCAACTGAAGCTTGTAAAAGAGCTTTAAGAAGTGTCAGATCAGTAAGTATATTATTGTTACCATCTTCTTACATTTACATAACTTTACTTATCCTTTACACTGTTAGAGAGTATGAAAATAGCAACTGTCATGCGAGTGCTGCAAATCTTTATCAACCTCATTCAACAGTTATATGACAGTCATACATGTCAAGTGATCTACAATCGAAAACTCAATGAAGCATTTGAAGTGGAGACAGGAATAAGAGAAGAGTGCCTATTGTCATCAATGATATTCCAAATTGTAGTAGACTGGATTATGCAACAGACTGTGCGTGGGGAGTGAGAAGACAGAAATACGTGGATCCGATAAGAAGACTCTTGAGTGCATCGTATTAGCTGAATAACGGGACCTACAATTATTACAGCGCCACTATGAACATTGTGCACGAACTGAGGTGTAAATTTCATCTTGATCTTGTATTTGGATAGTGGGTTGATAGCTTTTTAGGGTGAGGATCACGACTAGCATCAGGTTTAAGATTAGGGTTGGAATTAAGCTTGTTTTATTTTTATTATCTGTATTTTTCGAGTAAATAAACGTCATTTTTCTGTAAAAACCAATGGCTATTCTGATTGGTTGCCTCAAGGTCAGTCGTGAGTTCACTTTACCTGAATGAGATTTTGAAATTCATTTGATTGAGATGGCTAGATTTCTTGCACATATCAAACCACAGCTGGAAAAGATTAAGGGGTGGTCAGGCGGAAACAAGGCATCAATCCATGAAACTGTTGACTGCTTATTTAGGGTGTATTCTTTCTATTTGGATGAAATCTTCGAGCGACTGTGTAAATTTACATCGAATCGCTCTCTTTCACGTACAAATTATTCCACCATGGTTCATTAGTATTTATTTTGTTTCCTACCTTTGTGTATGGTGTTTTAAAGTCCGACAACTTGAATTGCTACATGATATTAGATGGTTGGAGGCGATCGGCCATAGGAAGCCTTGGACCTAGGTTTCGTGCTAGTTGGCACTCTTCAGCAAGGCGTATCTGCAACCTTGAAGGAACTCATGTCCCTTCTGAGATTCGAACCCGCGTCACCCAGTGCTGCAGTCAGAGACGTTACCACTGAGCTATTCGGGCCCGCGATTGACCTCCTGTAGGACTGTAGTGCAGCACTGGGTGACGCGGGTTCGAATCTCAGAAGGGACATGAGTTCCTTCAAGGTTGCAGATACGACTTGCTGAAGAGTGCCAACTAGCACGAAACCTAGGTCCAAGGCTTCCTATGGCCGATCGCCTCCAACCATCTAAAATCATCACAAACAATGTACACCGTGATGGCGAGCTACCTAGAATGGTGGCCACATTACAACCTGACTGATAGAATTCAGTCTGAACCAAAGAGAGGACTAGACGCATCACACTAGTTACTAGTGTCAAATCAAAATGAATTGCTACATTTCCATACAATGTATCACCTTGATAAGTCAATTCGTTACCCCTCTAAAGGAGATACTGGACAGTTCACTTTGAAATCACAGAAATGATTGACCCTACTACTTTCAGAGCTGTGTGTATGTGTGCATGTAGGTCATTCACTTGAATACCAACCAGGCTTTCATATAATGAGCTATAGTCTGAAATCCCAATACGTTTACTCTCCGACCTCAGTAACGCTGCAACATCCAGATCTCCGCCACAACAAATTTAAGTTACTACCTAATGCACAAACATGTCAAATCTTTGAGTTATATGACAATTACATTCTGAAATGGAACCAGTTAGGCATATTATAAAGTCATTTGATATAATGACTGATTGACTTTAGAAACTGCTATTGGATCACTATATTAGCAAACTGACATTCCCTTAAATGTTCAATAGTTAAACTGTTATATTTGTAGTTAATATAACTTAAAGACTCCAGCAAATATATTTCTTCAGTAACTTACAAACAAATAACCAAAAATATACACAAAACTGAATTGCAATTATTTTTTTTGAAAATATTGATCAGAATGAAAATTGGTATGGAGCTCTTGTGGCACTGACTAGCAATGGGGAACATGGATCTGCATGTGTTGGTTTCGATGATTTCAAGTACAGTGTTCGTGGATCATGGCTCGGGAATCAAACTCAAATAATTAGTGTGCCGTGTAGCAAAGCAGATAAAATTTGAACAGCTGTATTAATTTGTATACATTATAAACTGCTATTCAAGTTACCTAGTAATTTGTTGCGATATATACATATATGTCATGTTATGTATTTTAACATGAAGAAATTTCTACGATTTAATGAAATAAGTAAATAAAACAAGTGTTAATTTACAAAATAATCCTGTAGAATTCATATGTAAAAATATTTATTAAGCTTAAATTTCTATTGACAATAGTCTTTTCTTGTATTAACAACACAATATTCAGCGAAGAGACTCTTTTCAACGAATTTATTATCAAGCTGTACAGTCGTATACATATTGTTTTTAAGAAATTATATCCGGTGAGGGAATTTGATCAAAGGTGTCAATACATGAAATAATAATAGTAGTATGAAATGCAGGTAAAATATTTGTAATTATAATCATAGTTTAATGTCAAGTAGCAAAATAATTAATATCATATATAGAATAATACATAAACGGGTGTATAGAATTTGGAAAGGGGTGCATAATTATAGGATTAGTAGGCGAATATAAAATGTTACATGACATGGTGGGAAATTTGATAAGATCGAATTCAATATTGTAAAAAAAATAATAATTTTGGATTTAGAATGACAAGGTGGAAACAATTCAGAGTGAGAACAGTAATAATAATAATAATCGTAGTAATAAGGGAAAGGTACATAGAATAACTAAATAAACAAAGTAAATAAATGTCTATCCATCTATGGCCAAGACAGAAGTAGGGATTGTACATACTTCTTTTGTACACAAAGGTCTGTCTTAAATTCATGAATTGTCAAGGCCTCCGCTGTCTTTAGAAGTCTGTAACGAAGAAAACGCGGCAGGTTAGCATGAATTCGGTAGATGATCTTAAAGTCATGGTCAGGGTTGGCAGAGTGACAGGAGTCGATCAGGTGTTCTAGAATAGAGCTTCGCACACACTTCCTTTTTCCCTTGTAAAACCATGCTGGAATATATTCTCGTATCCGTGTGGAAAGCGTCCTCTGACTACGGCCAATGTACCTTGCTCCACAAGAGCAGGTGAACTGATAGATGCACATGGAGGTGGAGAGACGGGGGAGCTGATCCTTTACAAAGACAGAGAACAACTTGCGGCTGGTGAGCGTCATTTGTAATTTTGCTGCAAAGAACGTCTTACTGACTGCTTTAGAGAGATGGTTTTTGAGCGTATCCGAATCTTGATCACTTTTGAAGTCGAAGTTCATGAATAAGGTTTTCTTAGGAACTGATTCGGTGACCAGTATTATTACTATTCCTTTGAATTTTGAGTGGAACATAGGGATTCAACAGCACATATCCACTTTGTCCTGTTCCTTGAAGTCCTCTTTATTTGGCTCCTACAACTCACACATGGCAACCTCGGACACACGCCCAACTTTTCGTTCCCCATCCAGGTTCTACTCGAGTCATGGTTTCGTGTGGAATGTCGCTCAGCGGTCTCCTCAGTGTGTGTCCAACTCCATTTTCTTCAGAATATTTGTTGAGCAATAGGTTCTTGTTTGGTTTGTTTCCAGAGTTCCTTGCTTCCACTTCTTTCTGGCCCCCTAATCTGCAGTATACAGTCAGGGAAGGCAAATGTTGATGGAAGTTTGCAGCCACCAGATGGAAATGCTTGTCGCGACGCGTTGGCCATTTGAGAGAACAGATCGACTTGACATTCGTGATGAAAATCTGAATCGAACGTCTTTTGTTTTAACTGAGTAGAGAAGATTCCCACACTGATTTCAGAGTATATGAACGTCTGCCTTCTCGATTCTGGCTGGTTTTAACACCCCCATCCATGCTGTCATCCATAGTTGAAACGATGCTTCTTAGATAAGTGAAAGAAGTTACCTCATTCAAATTGCTTCCGTTGATAGTGATTGGTGTTAGTTGTGTTGTTTGGTTGGTCATGTTCGTCTTCCCTATGTTCCGCTGAAGTCCTGTCTTTGTTGTCTGCTTCTTCTGCCAGTTTGTTGGTTATTTGCCTATAGACCTTCGAGTTTGTGTGACATTAGACATAAATCGTCTGTGAAGTTCAGATCTTCTAACAATACAAAATGTGGTATGCATTGTCATTAGTACAGAAATAAATTGTGTGTATGTGTATGTATGTGCGCATATGTCACAAATCATGTGTACTCTAGATTTCTAAAGAATATTACTCTTATAAATTGATGTACACAGTTAGTTGAGAAAAGGTGTCTTGAAATGATCTGAGTCTTCTACTAATGAATTTTGCGTTAGGTCCTACGTCTGGTTGATCTAAGATTTTCAGACTCTACCGAATCATCCAGTGTGTTTGCATTCAATTGAAGAATACGGAATTCTGAGCCATATGACAGATAATATCTCCATTTGAATACAAGCAGATGCGATAGTGTCAATCTTAAATTCCCAACCAGCCAACCAACATAATTGAGTGGAAAATTCCCAAGACATTCGATCCAGAAAAGTATGTTCTTAATATTGATATCAGTGAGAGTGGTGAGACAAATGTGCTGGTGTTTCAGGATGGAGGCAAAGCTTTGTGAATTTAGTTCCACTCATGAATTCAAAAAGAGTAGGGATCAACCAAGTTTATGAAGATGCCCTGAATTCCTTGTAGTTTGCTGCTTTTTCAGCTGCACACACATATAATCTAAAAGTGTTAACTGTGTATCTTTGCTGAATCTTAATGATAGAAAACGTTGAAACGACGATAGCAGTGAATAAAATTTCATTTTCGATGAAGTCAACAACTAGATAGATGTACATTCGTGTATTTATAGTAAATGGGTGAGAAAGTTCCACAAGTGTTTCCCGTAGAGGGGCAAATCAACAAGTTTACAAATACGGATTAAAACGTAGTAATAATAAAATAGAGAGGAAGTTTGGATTTGAAAGGTGTAATAGGATAATCATTATTGAGAGAATAGATTCTTTATGATGGTCATGGTAGAGAAAAACGTTGGACGTATATCTTATGAACATATATCGTGAGCTTAAACTTTTGGATCGCTAATGCCTAGATGTCTTGATCTCACTCCGTCTGAGGGATTTGATAGGCTTTTGTCAATGACTTTACAAATGGGTGACACTGGATGTCCTGAGATGCTCTGTTACCGAGCTATACACCCACCTACATTCCCCATTTGGTAGCCAGTCTGGATATTGCTCCCGAGCGCATTTTACAAACGGACCCATGGTACGACCAATGTAATCAGCTCGACAAGAACAAGTGAAGTGGTATAGGCATGTTGAAGTGGCCTGTTGAGACAGCTTGTCTTTCATCTGCTGGTTGAATAGTTTCTCGCAACAAAAGTCACTCGTAGGCCAGTGGCAAAATATGTTTTACTGAGAGATTTCAAAAACCGTTTACGGAGGATTTCTACTTTAGTATCACTTTTATATTCGAGATTAAGCAGCATCTTTCTGGGTGGGAGGAAGGCATCCTGGAACGGTTCAGAAGCTTTCTTTGGTTTGATGTTCTTGTCTATGCATCTGGATGGGAAACCATTTTCCATCATGAAACCTCGAAGAGTTCGTCAGTATATTCTCGATGAAAGAGAATATATAAGGTTACACTCTTCCTGCTAAGAGAGACACAACTTTGAAAATCGATAAATTGTCCATCCCATTTTGGCTTTTTGTATATGGATCTCCTAAGGGAGTTATCAGCACTTCTTCGCAGCGGTACACCGAGGAAATGGGACATTTCATTGATTCAACTTTTACATTGAAGTCAATGTTAGGGTGAGCATTGTTGAACGTTTGGAGTAGATTTCCGAGGTCTAAATTCTCATCACAAATAATGAAAGTATCATCAGTGTATCTCTTGTCGAGATGGACCTCGCTGATAGTTGATGATGATAAGTTGTTTACCAGACTAACCATAAAACTGTCGACGAAGAGGTAATCTTTTAAATAAACGCGTAGTTAATGTCGAATTCTGCTGAACTGAACCCCAAGTATGAGAAGTCATACATCATTCTGACTGTGTGGATTTCTCATAAGTGGATAGTTTTCCTGATCAAATGTACAGTTGACTGATCAAAGTGCACAAAAAATGGCAACCACGTATGCCTTCTACACATTTACAGGTTACAACGTCTTGTGTTTATTTCATGTACAGTTTTAAGGCAAATCAAAACGACAGCTTAAAAGATGAAGGATGTTAATGGGTAAGAAAGAACTATATGCAAGTACAACTGCGTATATTCTTCAATTTCCAATATACTTGTTTTGCTTAAACCTGACAATTTTTTCGTAAATCAAATCAAAACAACAAATTGATTGTCCGAAATACAAGGTATATATTTCGGAATCAGAACGCTAAAGTGTAATATCTATCTACTTGGTTGACTAGAATGCATGCTCGAACAACCAAACGTAACACAACAAATTGCCAATTGGCGTGAATTTTCGACCAGTTGACTTAAAAATAGTGAAGGTCACCACCTACTGTTGAATAATGAACGCTGTAAGCTAATAACTGGGGGGGCAGAGGTGGGGGGAGGGAATTATTTACTACTACAATAGTTTGTTTATTACTTAATAATAACGGAGAATAAACGATATTAGGTTTTGAATAATTAAGTGGCCGCAATAACTCCATTAGAGATAAGATTTTATTTTGATAAGTCACACAGTAATATGAACTGATGATGTTTCGAGCACAAACTATTACTGCTTATAATCATATCAAGTCACTCACACAACTTTTTCCTTCATTGAGATGCATGTGTGGAATTGACTAGATATTGGAATAAAAATCAATATAAGATAATGTACATTCAGAAATAATAATACGAGTGTTATTGATCAATTACAATCAGATGGGAAATAAGACGAGTGTTTTTATATTCATAATAAGTAACTTGTTATATTGTTGTGATATGCTTGAATTGAAATAAAATATTAGGATTATTTATTATCCTCCTCTGATTTGGCTGACTGGTGGTAATAATATCTTCCATATTTCTGGTATTTGCATTGAGTCATTTCTGTTGCATGTGTTGGGTGTAGACTCAATGAACCAGGCAGGATTCAGTAATCAATCTCTCTACCTATATAGATTACTTCTTAGAATCTTAACCCTCTCCCCCCATGCTATTGTGTGGTTGTGTGTTAATGCGTGCAGTGCAATTGCTGGGCTTTTTTCTAAATTACTTATCTTCTCTGGGTCAACCATTCTTACCTTAGCTAAATTCTTTTGTTCCGACAATCTGATTACATCCGATCTACTAGTTTGACCCATATAGTTGACCTCACAGTCATTGCAAGGTATTTTGTAAATTATACCATTTTTATTGAGTCCACCGGGTCCTTTAGCCCACAGAGCTTGTCCTACCTGAGTGAGTTTGTAGGTTTAAATGCCACTCTAATTCCTGCTTTATTGAAATCCTACGTAGGGTCTCAGATGTCCCCTCCTTATATGGTATGACAGTAGATGACTTTCATTAGACGGTTAGAGTCATTCGGCAGAAAGCCTTGCACCTAGGTTTTGTGCTTGTTGACATTCAACAGTCAGCAAGGCACATCTACAATCTTGAAGGAACGACTCATGTCGCTTCTGAGGTTCGAACCCAGGTCACCTAGGACTGCCGTCAGAGAGGTTACCACTGAGCTATTCGGGCTCGCGGCTGACCATCTGGAGAACTGTGATGTGGATACTGCTAAGTAGTAACTAATGCTGTCATGCGTGTAGTCCTTTGTGTGGTGCAGATTGAATTCTATGAGTCATTTTTCCCCTTAATTTTCTATTGAGCTTAGATTGCATTGTAAATGTCAGAAAAGAACTTAAAATCAATATACACCCTATAGCATAGAGTTTCCTTTAAAAAACACAACGAAACAAGCGTGACAGTGAATTTGAATACTATATCTATTATTGTGGAGTCAAAATACAGTGAGAGATCATTCTATATTATCTAATTTAATGAAGCATAGATCGATTTTCTTATTTTATTTTGAAGTATTGATAGAAACACGACACATACCAGTAGTTGGGAACCACTTACATTACGCAACCGAAAGCTTCAGCTAAACTAATGATGACAACGGCCTAATATATGACAGTCAGGTCGAACTAGTTGCTCTATAAATGTATTAGGCAGTATAGAAACTTTATTAAAATTTGAGTTTAGAAGGTTAATTGACTTCATAACTTGAACCTACACTAAACAACTACTCTCACAAGCTAACGGAATAACTCCTTGGGAAATCCCACCAGAACGATCCAATTTATACTTATTTCGATGTTTCAACTAAATTTGTAGTCATTAACTCTTTTTCTCCTACATTGCACATCACTGTTCTGACGTTGACATATAGTATGTGACTTAATCCTTATTTGGATAGCGTTATTAGAAGACGGAGATTATCTGAAAAACTATGTGATGTATTTGCGCTATACATTTCGAACAATCTGATCCCTCACACATTTACTTGTCAAGTCGATATATATATGAAAAAGTTAAATTAAACAAAGTGACTAAAAAAAAGGATTTAAGAATGATTAACACAACGTTTGGTAATCCAATCAAATAAGGATTACCAAGGTAGGTTAAGAGTAATAATAAACTGTTTTTGAATACACTGGGGGGAGGTTTAAGTTTATGAATAGCTATAGCCTCGGCGTATTTCAATAAGCGCCCTTGACCATTTTTATAGATGACCATAAAGGCTGAGTTAACATCAAGCTTATGGTTCATCTCGACTAGGCGTTTAGCTATAGACGAAGTTGGTAGTCTGATACCTGCATCTATTGGTTTTTCTAACCATTTTGGGATATGCTCTCCCACCCTCACAAGCAAAGCGCGATTACTCCTCCCTATTTATGTGTGACCACACACACACACACGAAAATCGGTAAATAGTGTGGGATGTGACATAATCACTTGTGCACTTTTGAGGTTTGCAGTGGAGCATATTTTTAGCTTTTTTCGACAATTACAAGCAGGGCTGCATAATAGGTTCTACGGATGATTGAATTCAACTCATGTCTCAAAATCCTACTGTTTACTATTTGATGAAAACACTTTTTTTAGGGGCGGTATGGATTGTAGACTAATTTAGGGACTAATTGACTTATACACCTGTTTAAAAGTTTTAAAGGATATCCGTTTTCAACAAGAGTATCCCCTGTGTATTCGAAAACAGTTTATTATTACTCTTTACCTACCTTGGCAATCCTTATTTGATTGGATTACCAAACGTTGTGTCACTTTGTTTAATTTAACTTTTTCATATATATATCGACTTGACTGATTGTTTTAAATTTTTAATCCTTATTATTGGTCTTTTTCCCTGTTCAATCTCTAATTTGAATGCTTCTCTTTTCGTAGTTGTCTGGTGATATTGATAATGTATTGTTTTACGACCGCGATTTTACTTGAATGAGTCGAGGTCGTTCTAACATTGGACTGTATGCGAGAATCGTTTTTTGTGTGATTCTTGAGGACGGAACTTTGGTTTCACGTTGTTAGGAATATTCTACTTGATTCTAAGGTACTTTTTACGACCGAATTTGGGTTAACCAATTTTATTCTACAGGACTTGTTTTGTACTTAGAAAGTTAGCTTGTCTGTATGACAGCCCTGTTGAGGTAATTTTGAGTTTTTGTTGAGTTACTGTTGATCAGAACCACATAGGTCTATCGAGGAATAATCATCCTTTTGCTGTCTTTGGGGGCTTTCTGTGACTGTGAGTCCCTCAAGACAGTTTCTGTCAGTTATACAGTAGTACGTGTCCAGACCATATTAAGTAGGTTATGGTTGTTACAGACATCCCCTGAGAATTCTTTGTAGGCAATTATATCACTTCTCTCTTACTCTTGTATCTTACCTATTCTACTTTACTGCTCCTCGTTAGTAGTTCCTGGGCTACTTAAAAACGACTATACCATCCTGAGAAGGATGTTGAAGCTAGTTATTAGGACCAGTGGTGTAAAACTCAGTCAGCTCGTCACTACATTAGTTAAAAGGCATCTGAATACATGCGAAAAATGGTCTAAAACCATACTCTCCGACCCCCAACACCCCCTCTATTCCCAACTCTCGCCTTGTATCTCATCAAGTAGAACCAGAAATCAGTATAAAATAATCTATGCTCGTACAACCAAGTACAGGAACTCAACGATACCATATTTGGCCCGTGTTCTAAGCGACAGAGACAGTGTTAAGCGCGAAACCTATAACTTGCTTTGTTGTTAATAATCATAATTTTGTCTCTTTTATTTCTCTCTTATTTGGTATTCTTTAGTGAACTCCTTCTTAAACATACTTAGCTACCTAAATTATTAATATTGGCCTCCTTTTTTTACTTTACTCTATTCCTTCTTTTGTGTATCTACTGGTTCCGACTATATTAGCACTATGAGTATTACAAAATTTTCCTGTCATTAAACATCATGTAATTATTAGTTTTGTGGGTGTTTTATTTTTTATTTTTTTCGGCAATATTAACTGACAATCTTGGTTGTGAACGCCATTGTCACCATCTTAAAATTTTGTATTATGCAGGATTATTCACACTATCACTACAAACACTGCATTAGACCTGACAATAAAAAAGCAACCCTGAAATGTTATTTTATGATTGTTTAGTGTTGTTTCAACCTAAATTAACTGATCATCTTGGTGATAAACATTCTTAAATATCATTTCATAACTTTTTGTGTGACTATAGCTTTACAGTTACCACGCATAAACATATCATAACTTCCACTACCCAATACTGAGATATTATTTATTATGTTGTTTATTCTCCTTTCTACTTCTTGGTATTTTTTCGCATTGTTTTTGTTATTTTTGTGTTGTTTTTTGTTTTTGTTTTTATATTTATTTTTTGAAATACTCCTTTTAAATGCAAATATTGTAGATATGCGCTGAAAATTTCACACTGTACCACTAGTACTGTTTCTGGAATAAAGCAAATTATTATTATTAATGGATAATATAAGCGTGTGATTCCTGTCATTTAAATACTCACATAACTGCACTCCACATTCCACTGATCAACTTCTTGACAATCTATACACTTCTTCTTTACACTTCCAGTAAGGCTGCTGTACAAATCAGAAAATCTCGAAATCAACAACAACAAAACAAAATTTATTGATAAACGAACATTCTTTTTGAAATGATTTCACATTGTTAATATTGAAGAAGTAATACTTGCATCTAAAATAAAATAAAAGAGAAATATCTATAAAATTATAGCGAATGAATTACCTGAATATCTTGAGTATGAAATGATTTGATAGGGAAAATAGAACCTGATTTACTATCACTGTCGTTGTCACTCGATATCAGATTCCATGACATTGTAGGATTCTAAACAACAGTATGCGTTAGACAAAGTGTAAGATTAGTACATAAAAAGTATGTATAGGCGACAATAGAAAGACTATTTAATTCATAAATGAAAGCATTTAGAATGAAACTTCATTGAGAATTCGAAACCGAGAATCTTAATTAAATTGAATTACTTAATTCTTCTATAGACGACTTTGCACAGTCAAGGGTGGGTAGCCTTCGGTGTTCCTCTGGAAATGATCTCATGTAGCCACGCGTTCATAGCCCCTGTCAGATAAATCCTATCCATTGCCTTCACGTGGCAAGAGTCATCCTGACAAAAGTGAAAGGGTGAACGCGAACATTGTAGAGGTGTCAGCTTCAAAGAATCTCAACCCATGGATTCTGAAGCTGGCGCTGCTCCCAGAAGACTAATCGCTGCAACTCAAAATACTATGTGCAGAGTAAACGACTCAAGAATATCAGAATACTGACTGTCAATTTGAAAGTTGTTTATTTCTCCACTGACAATGACCAGGACAACAAGATTATTACGGCACAAAGTCTATGAATAAACATCAGCAAAATTTACACTAATACTTCTGTCAAATTGCGTACGACTAGGCCATGGCGTCTATTGTTGCTACCCACGAAAAATAGAGATCCGTTCGAATAAACAAACTATATGTTGCTCATTCAGTGTTCACCAACATTGGCAAATATCTGGCAATTTCAACCGGATCGGTGGACATGTTGGTTACCACCTAGGGGAGCTGAAAAACTCTAATTCCAAACATATGGTATACTTGCACTCAAGAATCCAGACGGATCGAATGGTGTATGAACTTGGTTTGGTCATCGGTAAGCACTGTCTTGTGGATCGGATTTTAAGCCAAAGGTTCGAGGATGGCACCTTAAGACAAGGACCTGATTTGGTGTGGGCGTCTGGGCAGTGTACTGCTCAGTAATCTACTCCGTCCTCCTTTATGGCTATGAGACCTGGTAATTGAAAGTGGACGATATGAAAAGGCTAACTGTCTTCAATCATAGACGTCTGCGTTGTATCTCCCATGTTAAGTGGTATAATAGGGTGAGTAATATTGAAGTTAGGCGTCAAATGTGAGGTAAGGAGTGAAAATCAATCGATGAGGTTGTAAAGCTACATTGACTGAGATGGTTAGGATATGTGTTACGTATGCATGTCCAGCCGTCGCCTTCCTCGACAACGGGCAATGTTAGGTGATATAGGGTCACGCCTAAAAAGAGCTAGCGGAGGTCAAACCAAAACAAGGCACCCATCAATGAAGTCCACAACAGTTAGTTTAAGCCAGTCACGTAGGAAGGTGTAAACTGACTTCGTGGTTGGGGTCCTCAGGACGGTAAACACCAATGAAGGCCGGAGACAATTGGTAATATGGCTCAAAATCGTTCTCAATGGCTGGCACAGATGCATCCATTCCTTGTGGTTTATAATTTCCAAAGAATCTACATTGTTCTTCGATTTTACTATTCATTTTGTCTCATATCCCTGTCTACTGTCTCTGTTTTGCATTTCTTTTTACTTTCTTCTGTTGCTTTGTGTGCTACATGGAGTGTGGCGATTCAAACTGCTGCACATCGGTGCAAAGTTCTACGTTGAAACCAGTCAGTCAGCACTATCCCAGCCCTCGCACAAACAATGAAACTTTGTGTAGCACATCTCTTCGTGTCAATAACGTACCAAATTTGTCTTTTATTAATAATAATAATACTTAAGAGAAAGTTCATATGTGGTGGAATTTAAAACTTAAGCGATGTAAAAGCCCCATCATTTAGTCACTGAATTTTTACACCTATACAGAATTAACTGCCTGGAAAATATGTTACCCATGTCTAAACACTATTTATGTCAAAGATGTCTATATATTAGCAAATTCAGTTGATGCGAAGTCATGGAAACAGAGGCTATTTGTCTCAGAAGTTTAAGAATATCATATGATGTCAAAATGAGGTCAAAATGACAAATAAATGCTATGTGATATGAGTGAGAAGGTAATGGCGCAAGTGCTTCCACAAACTGTACTCACTTGAATCGCAACACCATACATCTTTTATGTGATACTTATTTTTCTCATATTTTGAAACACTTTACTACTTTATATCACACAGTGAAACAGTATTATTTACTGGATGACGAGGTTTTGAAGAAAATTTATTGCTCATAATCATATCATCAATTATAATCACACAACTTCGAAACTTTCGATTTATGGTTTTCTTTATTCTTTCCTATTCGTCGTCTGGGTAGTAGAATTTTTCAGATGTCTGGAACAGGTGTTGGATTGTTCCTATTACACGTATCTGCAGTTTATTTGGTAAACAAAGCTGCTGTTATCAATCTCTCCCTCCACCAAGCTGTTATATTAGATTTTAAAACTGTCATCCTATCCCATCCATCCTATTGTATGGTTGTGTGTAACTGTATGTAGTGGGTGCTATAGTTGAACTATTCTCCAGATTTCTTATTTTATTTGGATCAACCAATCTAGATTTTGCTAAGTTTTTACGTTCAGCTAGTCTGACTGCCCCTGTTCTACTAGTTTGACCTATGTATTTGACCTGACAGTTATCGCAGGCAGAGTACTAGATAAACTAAATTGTTTTGTTTCAAAGGCTCCACAGGATTGATCCTTTAACCGGCAAAGCTTGTTTCTCATTGAGTTTAAGGGTGGTTTGAATGCCAGCCAGGATAAGAAATCTAGAGAATAGTTCAGCTATAGCACTCACTACATGCAATCACACACAACTATACAACAGGATGGGATAAGGTGACAGTTTTAAAATCTAATATAACAACAGGGTGGAGGGAGAGGTTAATAGCAAAACCTTCATTTATCGAATCAACTGCAAACACGTGCAATAGAAATGATTCAACACCTGTCCGGACGGACATCTGGAAAATTCTACTACCCTAACGACGACGAATAGGAGAGAATAAATAAAACTGTATATCGAAAGTTTCGAAGTTGTGTGATTATAATTGATATGATGATGAACAATAAATTGTGTTCGTAACCTCGTCATCGAGTTAATTATACTGTTTCACTGTGTGTGATTTATCTAATAAACAAATTAATATGGGATTACATACTACCACAGTGCCCAAGTTAAACACATATTAACTTTATAACCTTGAATTGCTTTGCTTAATAATCATAATAATAATATACCCTAACCTCAGTATTGCTTACCCTATTACACCACTTCACACGGGAGACAGAACGCAGGCACCTATGATCAAAGACAGCTAGCCTTTTCATGTCCTCTACTCTCAATGGCCAGGTCTCACAGCCATAAAGGAGGAGGACGGGGCGGACTGCTGAGCAGTACACACTTGAAAGCAACTGAGAAGTCAAGTCTTTTCACTTGGTATTACAAGATATTTTGTATTAACGCAAACTTTAATATTATCTTCGAAAGTGATAAAATGAATTTTAAGGGCATAAAATAAAATATAATAATTGATTAAAAATGCCCATTAAAATTTTCAAAAGAATAGACACGGAACAAAGAGAACTCTTTTCGATAAAGTTAGAGCTATATGCTCCGAAGAAGTAATTGAAGATGAATTAAACATTGTATATGATACTTTATTTGAAAATGGTTATCCTGACAAGTTTATCAAGAAACATATGACCCACTATCTGTAAACAAGAAGCCCCTTTATATACGACTACAATTCAAGGGCGATAAACCAAGTGAGTTAATTACAAAGAAATTAAGAAAAGCAGTTCAAAGGACTTTTAATGCTGGCGAACTACACATATTATTCTTTACAAGACCGATGGTGCTACCTCGACTGAAAGATGAAATACCTAGACTAGCCACTTCAAATTGTATTTATCAATTCAACTGCGCTTGTGGAGCGAGTTATGTTGGCCGTTGCTCTAGGAACTTGATTTTTCGTGCTCGAGAACATATCCCACTATGGCTAAGTAAAGGTGTAGTTAAAACTATTAACAGCTCGATATTAGACCATCTGGTGCAAACCGGTCACAAAGCCAGCGTAGACGAATCCTTCCTCATAATATACCGGGTGCCTAACAAATTACCAAAATCGTCGAAGCACCGCTAGCTCCAAACAGCAGAGGCTATTGCAATCCGCCTCAAACAACCAGTGCTCTCTGTTCAAAAGAAGCAAGTCCAGCCCCTACTACTGCCCTGGCCCTCAGTAGAAATTATAAACTCATGAATTTGTACTACTATCTTTCATAATTCTTCTGACATTCAGCTTATTTTATGTTGATGCTGTTCAGCTTTAATCTATCAATATTATTAATTTGATGTTATTTAAACATTAATGTCGTTCATAAGACTAATTCATTCATTCATTATAATGTTTATATAACTGTAGAACCTGATGATGAATTTATCGAAAAGAGTTCTCTTTGTTCCGTGTCTATTCTTTTTAAAATATAATAGTTTAAACAAATATATATCCTAGAGAACTTCAATAATGCTAACCTCATTTCGATATGAAGATGAAGAGAATCGAACCCATGGTTCCCAAGTTGTTTCTATAAATATAAATCAAAATGAAAGTAGCTACATTTATCATCAATTTTTAAAATCACGTACAGACAAGAGTGAATAAAAAAGTGTTTAGCGATAGAAGCATTATTGTTTGCTCTGTCATCGAAACTAAACTTCATAAATTCAGTACTGTAGATCATCAATCTTTAGACTGTACGGTTTGTTTAGATTTTGGATTAATCTCAGCTGTTAGACTGCCGTCACGAACCAGCATTAGTTAGAGAGATCATTGAAAACCACGGAGCAATGGACATCTGTTTCGTCGTATTCTGGGACTTTTCATCAGTACAAACCCACAAACCCTCAAGGGATCGAACCCATGATCTTCAGGTTACGAGACCAAATCCGACCATTCCTATAATCTGGATGTCCATCACCAGCTCACAGATGACTACTGCATAAATTTCCTGAAGCTACAGTGTGGGAATTTCGTGATCAATGAGGTCCATCATGTCACGATAAAGTGGGTGCTCATTGAAGACATTGGTCAGGGCAGTGCTACATCATGAGTTGATGAAATTAGGATTCAGGTATCACTGAATTCCGTTCTAAATTGCTGAATAGTCAACGAGCTTGGTCACGTAACCTGAAGGTCCCAGGTTTGATCTCTGGCAGGGTCCTGGTTTCGCACTGATAAAGAGTTCTAGGATAGAACGAAGCATATGTCTAGTGCTCTCTGGTTTTCAGTGACCACTCTCATTGATGTTGGTTGGTTCATGACGAAAATCTAACAAGTGTAATAAATCATCAATAGGTGAAGGATTTAAATGCGAAGGTTGAACTTAAAAACTGTGGAAAAGTACTTCTTTCAAAAATGAATGTCGCTACAGGACTAGACCACTAGATCAGAATGACTACCTTATATTGGCAGACATATTCGTTGTACGGATGGTTTGACTAACTCTATGCAAAGAACATCCTGGATAAATTTAACGAGGTTCATCCTGCAATAAATTTTACTATTGAGAAAGAAAAAGACTCTAGTATCTCATTTCTAGAAGTCCTTATGACCAGAAAAGAGAACGGCACAATAAGAAGAAGTGTTTATAGAAAACCTACATCAACTGGTCAGTATACTCATTTTCTCAGCTTCATGCCCTTGAAATACAAACGCAATCTGATAAAGTGCTTGGTTCACAGAGCAAGAGCAATCTGCTCGGATGAATGTCTTGATGAGGAACTTAATAATATTAAACGGTTGCTGAGTGAAAATGGTTATCCAGAAAAGTTTATTGATAAGAATATGAATCTAAAATCAAGGCAGCCCAAGGTGCCAACAGTTCCTAAAAAGGCCTTATTCTTACAAATGCAGTTCCTTGGGGACAACATCAGCGAGATACTAACACAGCGCCTTAGAAATGTGGTAAAAAGAGCATTCCCTGCTGCCGAATTACACTGTGTCTTCAAAACCACTCCTCTTTTGCGTTCGGGAGTAAAAGACAAACTGCCTAATTTCGCCTCTTCCATGTGTATCTACCAATTTAACTGCTCCTGTGGAGCCAGTTACATAGGCCGTACAATTAGGCGTGTTTCTCGTCGAATTTTCGAACATCACCCTGCATAGTGGTTAAGCAAAGGACAAACAAAATCTATTCGCAGCGCTATTCTATCTCATCTTGTGGATGACAGAACACAAGATTGATGTTAACCAGCAGCTTTCAGAGTCATTTACCGCATACCAACAAATCTCAATTTTACCTTAAGAGTTCGACTACTAAATATTACTGAGGCTGGCTGTTGGGATCCATATTAAGAAGCCTAATTTGTGTATCCAAAAGAAGTTAGTTCAGACATTATCCTTACCTTGGCCATCTAGGTTTGAATGATCTTCAAATTTTGTGGAATTTTCCTAATTTTAGTTGATATTCTATTTGCTATTATATCTTTATTATTATTATTTAAGCATCTTTAATGAACTGTAATTCCATTGTGATCTTACTTTACAAATCGATATTATTTAAAAAACACTAATATTGTTACTGACTACTAATCTAGAATATTCTATATATATATATATATATATATATATATATATAAGTGGTCAGGTGAGGGATCTTGTCCTTTGGACTTGTGCAGATCAGCGGGCGACTGAAGACCGCTACTCTCAATGTTGCTGCAAAGAAAGTTCTCAAAGAAGTGGAAATCCTCCTTCTAAGGACATCACGGTGAGTAGGTCACCTTTGAAGTCGAGGTTCATATAAAGTATCTTTTTTGGCACGGATAGCGTCTCTTGCTTTTGGATTTTTTGTTTGATGTTTTTGTCTACGAATCTTGATGGATAACCGTTTGCTTTGTATGAAGATTTCTTTCAGGAAGTGTAGTTCTTCTTCCAGGGTATCAGAGCTGCAGATGCGTCGGACGCGAGTGGCAAGAGATCTAATTAGGTTTCTTTTTCGACTGACTGGTACCCAGCTGTAGAAGCTTGTCAGTTGGCCGTTCCATGTGGGTTTCCTATGGATGGACCTTCTTAAAGTTCCGTTAGCTGTCCTTGTAATTTCAACATCAAGAAAAGGAATTTTAGATTCTTTTTTAATTTCAAGAGTGAACTTTGTAGCTGAATGGCATTTGGTGAATATTTGTAGTAACTGATTGAGATTGTGACCGTCATCACAGATAAAGATGTCGTCCAAATATCTAGCATACAATTGGAAATTATCAATAGTTGATTTGAGCAGTCCAGTGAAGATCCCATTGCGATCCCATGTTGTTGTCTGTAAATAACATCGTTGAATGTGAACTGTACATTGAGTGTACATTTCAGTAGTAGTTCTTTTAAACAAGTCGTCGGTATCCCAATGTTCAGCTGGTTTTCGTCTATATATTGACAAATTATCGCGCTCCTTAATGAATTACTATTACCTTTCTGCAATCATGAAGAATAGGGTTCTGGAATCCTTTTACATAGGATACGCGTCGGATAACCAATATACCTGGCTCCACAGCAACAGGTGAACTGATATATGCACACAGATTATTATAAACGCTAAGTACCAATGGATTCGTCAGTGAATCAAGGTTAGAATGCTCGACAATGATGCATGTGGTCCGGGTTCGAACCCCTGCCAAAGAACGTCTAAGCCCCGTCTATTTTGCTAGCTGATAGAAAGCCTGGAAAATTGACAAGGTCAGGTGTGAATTTAGCAACCTTCCCGCCCCCCCCCCCGTCCGTGGCGAAAAAAAACAACATCTCAGTTACTGAAACTTGAAACCATATGTTCCACTCGGGAAGCAAGAAATAAAGAAATAAAAATAACCATTTAACTACATTTAAACAAACAAATTCCAAATGTTCAAAATTTATATCAACATACCAAACTCTAATGGTGGTAATGTAGAGTCAAGCATTTTCAGACGAATTAGCGCAGTGGCGAAATATTCTTGAAGGACAGAAAAGCAAATATCTCGTCTATGAAAACACAAAAAATAGAAGTTGAAAGATAATCAATTTCAAAGTGGGCTGATAAAATTTGAGGTAAATAAACTGGTTTTACTCATTACAACAAAAAAAGAAGGAAATCAGACTAAACACATTTTAATATCACCAATCCAGATGATAAATTTTAACTTGTAAAATATATTTAAGCGACTCACTAGGCTGCACTCTTTACTTTCCTTATAAATAGACGTTACTTAGACAAAGAAGTGCTTGAAAGGCGGTTAAGTGTTAACAACAACACGTATAACTCCTCTATCTAAATAGATTTTACTTCAACAGATAGTCAGTACAGAGATTTAACAGTAGTGTAAGACCATCACACTAAAAATGGAATTAACTGGGTATTAACTTATTTTGATAAAAATGTGTAGTAGTAGTAGTAGTGTGGTGAGAGCTGTCTACTAGCCAAATTGGTAGACAGTAATTTACGTCAATGTTTACGTTCTCAAGATTGGTCGTGAGAAAATATGAACAAAGACTGATTCAAAACCGACCACAGCAGACTTTGCGTAGGCGGATACAGTTAACATATAGATGATGTGACATTCAAGAAACAGTCACAAAGAGATGAGAGATTAACTTTAAGTGAGAAACAACCAATCGGAAGACTGTGTTTGTTTGCTTAACTAATCTATAATAATGTACATGAAAATATATAAATATGCTTTGATTTCCTTAATAAACGATCTGTTGCCTGGCCCTTGTCTTTGTTGTTACAGTAGTAGTAGTAGTAGTATAACAACAGAAGACAAGGGCCAGGCAACAGATCCTTTATTAAGGAAAATCAACACATATTTATAGATTTTAATGTACATTATTGCAGATTATTGTTAGTAGAAAATACAGTCTTTTGATTGGTTGTTTCTCACAGAAAGTTAACCTTGCATCTCTTTGTGGCTGTGTCAGATCATCCATATGCTAACTGTATCCGCCTACGCAAAGCCTTTGTTCTCATTTTCTCACCACCAATATTGGGGAGATAAACATTGACGTCAATTACTGTCTACCAACTTTGGCTAGCAGCCAGCTCTCACCACAGTAGTATTGCCGTTCCCTTGGGTTCCGAGTGGAACATACAGCTTCAGCAATACATCTCCATTTCATCGTCTTCTCTATAGTCCTATCTATCTGGCTCCACGATGCCTCATGAGCTGTTATCTCCTCCTAACACGTTATTGTCTATGTCATTCTCAGGCGCTCAACCCACCGTTTCCTATTCGGATTCCACTCGAGGGTTTACCTGATGCGCCATGTAACTCAACGTGTGTCCGATCCATCTTAGGTCTCTTCAGCATGTAGAAAATAAAAGACAAATTCAGCGAAGAAAATTTTCTTTATCGACGAAATCATCTTCAGAGGCTGTACAGTCGTATTTATACTTACCAAAAAATATATAGTGGTCTATTATTGAGTAATAGGGAGTGACATAATTGATATAATTACTCAGAAGTGGCTTTAGAAGTGACAGTTAAAAGTTGTAAATTACGTGGTACTCAACGGCACAAAGATAGAAATTTGATAAGGTTAAAATTGCTATTGAGTAAGAATAAAGTGGTAGTTGAGTGTCAATTTAACAAGTGTGAAGACGGTGTGGAAATGTACAAAAGGAGCATATGAGAGTGATAATAGTGAATTAATTATTGAAGCAAAGCAAACTAAAAGTAAAGTTAAAAAGGAAAAAAATCAAAATTTTTTAAGGGACGACTAGTGAAGAGGCTAAGACCAAGGTAGAATAAGAAACTGGACAAACGTTTTCTGTATGCAGAGTTGGGGGTTGTATTGACGAATTGCCAGCGCCTCCGCCATACATTATTATCACTCTCATATGCTCCTTTTTTTCACACCCTCTTCACACTTGTTAAATTGACACTCAACTACCACCTTTTTTATCACTCAATAGCAATTTTAACCTTATCAAATTTCTACCTTTGTGCCGTTGAGTACCACTTAATTTACAACTTTTAACTGCCACTTCTAAAGCCACTTCTGAGTAATTATATCAATTATGTCACTCCCTATTACTCAATAATAGACCACTATATATTTTTTGGTAAGTATAAATACGATTGTACGGCCTCTGAAGATGATTTCGTCGATAAAGAAAATTTTCTTCGCTGAATTTGTCTTTTATTTTCTCTTCACCATATTTGTCAGGCAATAGGTTCTTGGTTAGTTTGTTCCCAAACTTCACTGTTCCGACAGAAATACACCGGACTGATAAGAAGACCCTAAAAGATATTGACTTTGCGGATGATTTATGCCTCATGTCACATAAATCCGAAGACTTACAGATGAAAGCCAAAAAGTTGTCAGAAGAGGCTGGTATCAAAGACAGGACTTTATATGGACAAAGAGTTGATAGAGGTGATGAAGATAACCAGCTAACCAGCTAACCAACAACAACAAGCACCAATCACTATCAACTGGGTCACATCTTCCATTTATCTAGGAAGCATCGTTTCTACTACAGACGGCACAAACGAAGATTGGAAAGGCATGACAGACCTTCATCAACCTGAAGTCCATCTGGAAATCTGCTGTAATCACCATAAAGAATGGAACTCAGATTTTCAGCATCAATGTTAAGTCACTCTGTCCTTCTCCATGGGTTAAAAACCTGGCGAGTCAACGAAAGCATTTTCAACCAGTGGCTAAAGACTTTCATCAACAGCTGCCACCTTTGCTGGCTCCATACTGAAAACCGGACGGCCAGAAAGAATTAGCAGCAAAAAACTCTTGCAATGGACCAACACCAAGAACCTATTCTTCAACAAATATCTCGAAGATACTTGAGATGTAGCAGACACAGGCTGAGGGGGCCGTTGAGTGACATAGTGCACCAGGTAGATTCTCAAGTGGAGCCCGCATAGGAAACGACGAGTGAGGCGTCTGGGGATGATACGGAGGAGATCGTGTGAGGAGATAATGAGAGCTTGTGGATAATCCTGGAGCCAGTTAAAGGGGACTACAGTGAACAGGATGAAATGGAGATGCGCTTTTGAAGTCCTATGTTCCACTCGGAACCGAAGAGAATAATAACAATATATACACAGACAGAATTATTACTCAAATAACGGATCGGTACAACCACTTATGAAAAATGTTTAGTATTCGTCAAGCATTGATATTTAATACCGGATATCTTGGTGAAATCAATACTGACGATGATACAAAATATAACTTGACTCTAAGAACGCTAAATAATTTGGATTCTCATCCCAAGTTACAAATTTGCTTTATTACTTCACATGTATTTTTATTCTTTGTTAAAAAAAAATAAGACAATTCGGTGGTGAAGAAAATAAAAGACAATTCAGCGGTGAAAATTTTCTTCATCGACGAAATCACCTTCAGAGTCGGCTGTACAGTCGTATTTATATGTAACGAAAATGTAGAGTAGTCCATTAGTCCAATGGATGTGTGAAGAATAAACTGCCGCTTTGGACGGGCCACTTCAGCGTGTGTTTATAGATTCACCTGCTCCTGTGGGGTTAGTTATATTGGCAGCACAAAGCGTACACTTTCCAAACGCATCTCTGAACATTATCCAACATGGTTAGCAAAAGGACAATGCAACACAGCTAATGGCTCAGCTCTCAATCACTTAGTGAATTCAAGCCACGCAGCTCCCCACCAGAGCAGTCTTTCAAGATTATCTACAAGGTGACACCAAATGGTATAAAGGGAGTCAGGTTTCGGCTTTTGTGTATAGCGGAGGCGTTGATAATTTGTCAATACAACCTCGAACTCCATATACAGAAAAAGTTTGCCCAGTCTCTTATTCTGCCATAGTCTTAACCTCTTCATTAGTTGTTCCTTGTAAATTTTTTATTTCAAATGATTACTTTGCTTTTGCTTTATTAATATATATGTAAAACTTGGGCACTGTGGTAGTAAGTAATTCCACATTAGTTTGTTTATTAGATGTATCACACAGTGAAACAGTATTATCATTTACTGGATGACACAGTTTCGAACAAAATTTATTGCGATTCATAATGATATCATCAATTATAATCACACGACTTCGAAACTTGCTTTCTTTCTTCTCTCCTGTTTGTCGTAGGAGTGGTAAAATCTTCCAGATGTCCACCTGGACAGGTGTTGAATCATTTCTATTGCACGTGTTTGCAGTTGATTCGATAAATAAAGCTTTCGTTATCAATCTCTCCCTCCACCTAGCTGTTATATTAGATTTCAAAACTGTCATCCTATCCCATCCTATTGTATGGTTCTCTGTAATTGCATAAAGTGCTGTAGCTGAACTATTCTCCAGATTTCTTATCTTATTCAGGTCAACTAACCTAGATTTTGCTGCTAGGTTTCTATGTTCGGCTAGTCTGACTGCCCCTGTTCTACTACTTTTCCCTTTGTATTTGACCTGACGATGACTGCAGAAAGGGTATCAGATACACTAAATTGTTTTGTTATAAAGGCTCCACAGGACCCTTTAATTCACAAAGTTTGTTTCTAACTGAGTTTGTTGGTTTGAATGCTACTTTTATTCCTGCCCTGTTAAGAATTCCGCGTAAGGTTTCCGAGGTTCCTTCTTTATATGGAAGTACTGCTGATGATTTAAATTCCCTATTTTTGGTGTTGTCATTATCCTGTGCATGTTTGACATGCATGTCGTCATTAATAATAATAATAATACTATTATTATTGTTATTATTATTTTCACTATCACTACTATGATTATTTATTTTATTTTTATTTTTATATTCCCCTACATACTTCCTGACTAATTTATCAGAGTAATTATTAAGTTTCAAAGCTCCGCTTATATGCCTCACTTCCTGTCTTAGATTTTCCTTGGTACTACTAAGTTTTTATGCTTTGTCACTTAAACATTTCACCAATCCTATTTTTACTGACATAGGATGGGATGATCGGAAGTCAAAATATCTGTTTGAATGTATGGGTTTCTTGTAAACACTAGTGTTTAACTTCCCATCTTCTTTCCTTTTTACACTGCAATCTAACATTGGCAGTTCCCCTTCCTGACTTTCCAATTCATAAGTGAATTGAATTCCCTCCACCTTTGAGTTAATGTGTTCAAAATATCTATCTATATCCTGTGTTCTAAGTACAGTGAATGTGTCATCTACATACCTCCACCATACTTTTGGGGTGGGGCTGAACGTTTCAATCGCTATCTTTTCCCACCTGTCCTTAATATATCTGCCACAACCGGGGATATTGGTAACCCCATGGCAACTCCCTCAGTTTGTATATTTTCCCTTGGAATTTATATACTGTGAAGGTCAGGCACAGCTGCACCCCCAGCATTATGTTCTCAAGTGGCACTTTCGTCCTAAGTTCCAGTTCTTGGTCAGAAATCAGTTCGTTTCTGACTGCCTCTATAGCCACTGTGTGATACATCGAATAAACAAACTAATATGGAATTGCTTTTGCTTTAATAATGTGCGTCGGTGGCATAGCAGTTAGGACGCTCGCCGACCATGCACATGGTCCGGGGTCCGATCCCCGGCCGGCGCACTCCTTTACCTCGCTAAGCCAGAACTAAAAGCTGGTGAAGAGGAAAGGTTAGGCATGAGGCTAGCAACCCCATCCTGTAAAAATAAACACTGCTAAAGAAACTTCAAGCCTCTAGCTTGGAGCCCTATGTTCCACTGGGAACGTGAAGGAATAAAAAAAATAAAAATTACCACTGTCACATTTTCACTTTCTCATCCTCTTCACACTTTTTAAATGGACACTCAACTACCTTTCTTCTTACGCAATAATGATTTTAGTCTTATCAAATTTTTAACGCTTTCTTCCTTTGTGCCGTTAAGTACTATGCAATGTAAAACTTTTATTTTTACATTTGAAGCCACTTCTAAGTAGTTTTATCAATTATGTCACCCCTATTACTCAATAATAGACCACTACACATTTTTGGTAAATATAAATACAACTATACAGCCTGTGAACATGATTTCATCGATAAAGAAAATTTTCATCGCCGAATCATCTTTTATTCTCTTCATGACTCAATGGGTGTTTTCAGTGATTTGAAACAATTCCGTAGATTAGAAACTCTATCGTTTTAAGTGAAACAATTAGTCCCTTTGATAAATTTGAATAAGGCATTAAGAAGACAAATTTCGCGAGATGATATCATTTCGTAGTTTCTTTAGTTGTAAAGCGGTTGTAAAGAAACTACGAAATGATATCATCTCGCGAAATTTGTCTTCTTAATGCCTTATTCAAATCTATCGTTTTACTTAATTAATAAGCAAAGTAACACCCCCAAAATTGAAATAAAACTTACTGAATAAACTCTTCAGTTAATTTGTCGAAACGTATAACAAGTGCTTCAATAGGTTTCGATTCAGCTGATGAATCGACTGGAATTGACTTAATTACAATACGAAACTCAGAGATTTCCGAGAGTTGAGGTCGTAGAGATTCAACACAATTGAAAATATACTCCTTCACCTCAGGATTATTGAAAATCTGTAATAGCATGCGCAGAAGGAAGAGATGGAACTAATATGATAAACAACTAAGTGTACAGCGGCAGTTATTAAGGGATCCTAAGTATCAAACATAACACGATTTGTAAAACCAATTAGATCTTACACGAAAAGGATTTGAGGCCGCGAATTTCTGTTTAGTGTGGGAATATTAAGACTCATCTCAATGGACTATATTATTATATTATTATTGCTTCCTTTAGTTCCTAGAGGAACATAAGGCTTCAGCCGCACGTCTCCATTGCATTCGGTTCTCTGCCAACGTTTTCACCTAGCTTCACGTCTGCCGAAATGCTTTCATCTCCTCTTTGCAGCACCTCCTCCATGTCACCCTCGCACCGACGACCAACTCACCACTTCCCATTTGGGTTCCGCTGAAGCAATGGCCTGTTACGTGATGTCGCCTGATGGCTTTCTCAGAGTATGGTCAATCCACCTACATTTCTTCCTGCTTATTGGTTGCACAATCGGTTCCTGCTGTGCTGGTTCGCTCCCAGAGATCCCTGTTGCTGATCTTTTCGGGCTTGCCATCTGACCTTGAGTATCAAGGGAAGACAGCTGTTGATGAAGGTCTGCAATTTGTTTGAAGTGCCCTTGGTGACACGGCGCCAAGTCTCTGATCAATCCTTATATTAGCATTGACTTCACATTGGAGTTGAAAATCCGAATCTTATTTTTCATGCTGAGTGCTCTTGATCTCCACACTGACTTGAGAGTAATGAAAGCTTGTCTTGCTTTGATATCCTCGTCAGTTCCGTCTGTAGTTGAAACGATGCTTCCCACGTAGGTAAGTAGGTAGTTAAAAGAGGTTGCTTCTTTCAGATTTCTACCATTTATTCTGGCTGATTATTGTCTGTTATTGCTGCTGTTGGTGATGTTGCCCAGGAATCTTCATTATCTCTGTTTACTCTATGTTCACCTGAAGTCCTATCTTTGATGCTTCTTCTGCTAACTTGTTGCTTTTCGTTTGCATGTCTTCCAGTTTGTGGGAAATCAGACATATATCATCGGCGAAGTGCAGATCCTCCACGTTTTTCGTTAAGGTCCATTTTATGCCTGTTTCCTCACTGCCAGCTGTTTGTCGCATTCTCCAATCTACTGCAATCAGGAAAATCATTGGCGATAGTAGGCAGCCAGCTTGTCTTACTCCTGTCCTCACTTCGAAGGATTCCGTAAGTTTCCCGTTGTGGATTACTTGGCATGCAGCATTGTCGTACAGCTGTTGGATGAGATGTATAATTGTCGGTGGCACCCAGTAGTGGCGAAGTACTTACCAAATCACCTCTCGATCGACGCTGTCGAAGGCCTTTTCAAAGTCGATGAAGTTGAGATAGAAAGGTGACTGCCATTCCAGGCTTTGTTCAATGATGATCCGTAATGCGGCAATTTGATCAATACATGACTTGTTTCTCCTGAATGCAGCCTGTTCTGGTCAAAGTTTTCATCCAGGGTGGGGTTTTTGATTCTCTCCAGGATGATGCGGCTTAGTGTTTTGCTTGGGATGGACAGGAGCATAATTCCGCGCCAGTTCTTGCATTGACCAATGGACTATATGCTGAGGTTAAAGACACACAATTAACATACTTCACCGTGGCTTAATTTCAAATTGAAGGCTAAATTATATGTCAAGAAAAGCACTTTTAGATCTTATTGACTTCGTCTTGAGGCATACACCTGATTTACACGAAATTGTTCGTTCACATGATGCCTGCAGCATACAGGACACTAAAATAGAAACTAAGTCAAGCATTAAATACCTGGGAATAGTTCTATCCTCTGACCCTTCTTCGTCATCGCATATCTTGTTGATTTCTAAGAGAATGTTCCGTCTAGGCTTCTACATTTAGAAGTTAAGAAAATCAGTAAATACTCAACCTCTACTTTTAAAATTTGTTAACTCTTGCATCTTATATATTGTTCTTCATTGTTTCCCCTCCCCTCCCCCGTTCAGTCTTTCCTGAGCTACTCAAAAAGGACTATGTCATATTGAGCATATTAAAGTTTTCCAGTAGGGCAAGTGGTGTGACACTAAATTAAGTCGTAGTGGAAAGACATCTGAACTCGTGCAAGAAATGAGCTAAATCCGTACTGACTAACTCACAGCACCCTCTTTATTCACAACTTTCCCCTTGAATTTCATCAGATAGGAGTAGAAGTCATTATGAAAGATTATGTGCTCATACAACCAAGTACAGAGCTCAACGATACCCCATTTGGCTCACATTCTATGCGATGGAGAAATTGTTAAGTGTAAAACTTATAACTTTACTTTGTAATTCGCAAAATAATTGGCTCTTTTGCAATTTATGGCGACACTATTTCAGTTATCTTAGAATTGTAGTTAGCAATATTACTGGTAATGCCAAAAACAGTCGATATTATCAACTTTGGTTACCTAGCATGGATACAGACGGCCAGTTTCGCATATGCCAGTTTACACCGTCTCTGGCGTAGAGGTGATATCCAGCTGGCTATCGATCAAAGGACGCATGTACTGCTCAGCAGTCCTCTCCGTCCTCCTTTATGGCCAGCTGTGAGACCTGGCCATTGAGAGTGGAAGACATGAAAAGGCTAGCTGTCTTTGATCATAGGTGTCTGCGTTCTATCTCCTGTGTTAAGTGGTATAATAACGTGAGCAATATTGAGGTTAGGCGTCGAGTGATAGGTAAGGAGTGAAAATCAATCCATGAGGTTGTACAGCTACATTGATTGAGATGGTTGGGACATGTGTTACGCATGCATTGCTAGCTATCGCCTTCCTCGATAACGGGCAATGTTAGCTGACATAGGATCTATCAGGCTGGAGAAGAGCTAGTCGTAATCAAACCAAAACATGGCATCAGTTCATGAAATCTTTAACAGTTATTTTGAGCCAGCTACATAGGCAGGTGTAGACTTCCAGAATGGTTGGGGTCCTCGGGATGGTAAACACCAATGAACGCTGGAGATAATCGGTGGTATGACTCAAAATCGTTCTCAATGGATGGCGCAGATGCATCCACTCCTTGTGATTTATAATTTCCAATAAAACTATATTATTCATTATTACTATTCCTTCTATCTCATATCCCTTTTTACTGTCTCTATTTTGCACTTCTTTTTACCTTCTTCTCTCGCTTTGTGTGCTACATGGAGTGTGGCGACTCAAATTGCTGCACAACGGTGCAAAGTCCCATGTTGAAAGCAGTCAGTCAGTCATTTTGGTTACCTTATAGTATATAATTTTTTATATAGTTGAGTAAATCAGATGCAATATTGTACTAAATGCTGGGAATCCTACACTGCATCATAAGTACTGTTTTGGAGTAAAGCAAATTATTACTATTTATCCAGATGTGTCGGAAAACACCTAGGAAGACAGTTAAAATATTGTCTCCTACGAAATTCAAAAGAAACCCCCCTGTCAAATGAAAGTGATGATAAATACAAGTCAGACATTAATTTTTGAATTTTATTATCTGTAGCAGAGCAACCTAAACATCTGTTTACTCAGAAAAGTTAGTCAGTTTTAGAGGGTTTGAATAACTAGACAATTTTAACTGAATATTCTTAAGTGCTCTGTTATTAGCAGTGGTTGAAAAAGAACAGACAGATCTCAGAAGACTTAGCTACTGTTATGGGGTAAGTGAAACCTAAAAACGACAAGCAGCAATTCCTAACCACTAACAAACGCATAACAGCATATCTAATCAGTTAGTCTGATTCAAAGTCCATCACCAGCAACATTATCCACGTGATTTGTGCCTAAGACTTAGTTAGTGCTCTGAGTGAATAATTTAAAAAAATTTTATTGATACCAATTGGTGGATGGTGACTAGCAGTGGAATCCAGGGTGCACATTTCGTCCTATTTGGGACGTCGCCCAAGTGGTCTAGTGGATAACGCTTTGGCGTTTGAAACTATGGGCACTGGGTTCGAGCCTTGTTGGGAACATCATCCCTCACCGCGGAATGCAGGTACATCCAGCAGGTGAGTCCCAAATAGGACGTAATGTGCATCCTGGATTCCACTGCTAGTCACTGTCCACCAATAAACTTTTAATTACGTGCCCAGACATCGTCGAAGCATCTGCACAAGAAGCCCACATGCCAATCTGAGACCGAGCATTTCGGTCGAATTAATTGACGGGAAAATCTAATATTGAATTAAGTAATCTTATCGATAGCCAACTTTTCATCCATAAAAGCTGGCATTAGGAAAGCTTGAAACATCACGTTTAACCACGTTTCCACGAATTTATCTATTTTTCAGAAATTGGCTTAAGAAATGAAAACTAAACTAATGTCGTTTGTAGCAGATATAGGGTTAAATTCTGTCTGTCTAGGTTCAACATAGAACTTGGCACTGAAGTGGAGCAGTTCGAGTTGCCACGTTCCAAATAGCACACAAAGGTAGACAAGAAAATGAGTGAAGAGAATCAATAGAGTTTTGACAAGTATAAGAGTGAAACAGAATGAGTAATGGTAGAAAGGAATATGAAAGATTACAGAGACTGAATACATCTGCGTAAGCCATTGACAACGATTTTCAGCCATGTCACCTATTGTCTCCAGCCATTGATTGTTAGAGTCCCAAGGGCCCCAACCCGGAAGTCTGCATCTCCCTCCCTACCTGACTCAGTTTAACTGTCAGGGATTTCATAGATTGATTGATGAGGCCATGTTTTTGTTTGGCCACTACTTACTCTTTTCGAACCTGCACCTATATCAGCTAGTAATGCCCGTCCGTTGGGGGAGGCGATGGTTAGGCATGCGCAGCGCGTGACGTAGCCATCTCAATCTATGTAACTTTATAGCCTCGTCGATTGATTTTCCCTCTTTGCCCAACACTCTACGCCTAACGTCGACATTACTTACCATATTATACCACCTAACGTGAGAAAGAGATCGTAGACATCTATGATCAAAAACAGTCAACCTTTTCATGTCTTCAACTCGTATTGGCCATGTTTCAGAGCCATAGAGAAGGACGGTGCGAACT